GTGCAGCGCAGCGCAGCGCAGTGCAGTAGGTAGCATGCAAGCAATGCAGCTAGAGGAAGGGGAAATGTATGTATGGATTGTATTGTAATTGTATGGTATGGTATGGTATGGTATCACTGAGATCCTAGAGAAGAGGCATTTTGGGCCACGGGTGCGTGAGGGGGGTTCCTGCCGTTTAATAAGTGCTGGTCTGGTTTTCGTCACCTGCATCTGAAGCTCTGCATCGTGCATATCACGCACCTCTCCTCCGTTCCCCATTGCCTTGCCATTGCTGACCACGACGGCGTTAGTGCTGCTCTCTTCGCCCGAGCCGTAAGGAGTACAGCCTGCCAGTGCTTGCTCTTGCTGCAGGCTGCTGGAGTGCACATTACGTGGAGGGCTGGCTCCAAAGGAAGGACACCGACACCCCAAGGGCACCCGAAAGACACCCTATGACGGCTATGACGGGAGCCGTGGCGATGGCAAATAGCAGTCCCTGTTTCTGAGACTTGCAGCTCTCATGAGTGGCCCGGATTGCTGCCCAGCCTGTGAATCACGGTATCAAACCGGGCCTGTGAATCGACTGGGGAAGCTTAGGAGTCAGGGAATAGCGTCACTCCCACAGCAAGAGATTCGCTTAGCGATGGCACCATGCCGAATTCCGCACAGGATCACCCCCCTCACCACCGGCACTCTCCAGCACCTTCCAGCGCTCGAGTGCCTCTCAAGATGGCCGGGGGGTGCTGATTCCAGCCGACTCGATTGGCCCAACAGATTCCACGCCGCATGCACCGCCCATGCTGGAATCGCTGCCTCCGAATTTCCGGTTTCTTCCCGTCCAACGCAAGCTACCTGCAGGCTGGTGATAAGACACACAAGGACTCCAAGCCCCGTTCGATAGTGAGCTGTTCGTGGGTAGCCTGGCTTCTATCGCCGCCTGCTAGACTCGCTAGAGCGAGTACTAAGACGGCAAATCGGCAACTGGCCATGCAGCCATATCTGTTCGGTGGGCCAGGCTTGCGACAACTGCCGGTCAAGTGGTAGTCCAACTGGCAATGGCCATCCTTTACAGTCACAGTTATGAGACATACAGCTGTGCGTTTTTCCAATTATCGCGGGTCATCCGGGACTCTGCTAGATTGGTGGACTTTTGGTGTTTTGAGCCTTGAACAATCGGGATGGTGTACTGTTTTGAGACATGTAAATGACATAAGCCACGACCGCTGAAGCACAGGCCTCCAAACAAGAATCCTAACCAACCACGTTCTGGTTCCAGCAATTGTCACTGTGCTTTCCACAACAATAGAGTAAAGCCTTAAATTAAGGTTAATAAAGAAAATCAATTCATCAGGTTGGGTGGTCCGACTGTCCTCCGTCGTCCGGCTGCCGTTAAACTTAGAGCTACCTCCGGCCGGCAGTCCCCGTCGCATGGCCTCCGAGCCCCGCTCTCCCACCGTTTCCGTTTCTTACCGCTTTGGGCGGGCAGAGAACGATGATGTACCTGCCGGTGCAATGATCTCACCGCCTGCCGTCTCGGTGTTTCAGGTGTGAGCCGCTCTAACGATATCGCCAGAGCCAAGGCGAAGTCAATTTCTCAGCCACACACTTAAAGATCGCTTCATAATAGCAGAGTGCGTCGGTGTTTGGTGTAATTGGCAGAAACCACGGCTATCGCTCTTGTCGGTTCTTTGGCAACTTGAGTCTTGCAGCTCTCTCATCATCCGCAAACATGGCAGCTGCTGTCGATGAGACTACTGATCTCAGCAAGGAATATGACACCCCCATGGGCCTTGCCCACACGACAATGGCAGCTCTCAAGGACAGGATAAAGCTACATTATGACCTTGCGAGCGAGTATTACTTGAGCCTATGGTAGGTTCGGCCTACCAAACCATTTACAAGTCCTACGAGGCTTCACAATGGCTGAATATTTCATGGTCTGGATATACTAACTCTCCCTGTGTCTTCACGAAGGGGTACGCACATCCACCATGGGTATTGGCCTACAGAAGATTCAAAGGCAAAGGAGACAAAAGAAGTTGCCCAGATCAACCTCATACAGCTGCTCCTCGACACTTCCAAGATTGGCGAGGGCAGCAAAGTTCTCGATGTGGGCTGTGGAATCGGTGGCACCTCGAGGTATCTCGCCTCGACCCTAGGCTGCACCGTGACAGGCATCACCATCTCCTCGAAGCAGGTGGAGATGGCAACTCGCCTGACCAAGGCCGACGCAGCCAAGGAGCAGCCGGACGTAGAGCTGGTCGCTGATGCTGATGGCTTCTACAAGCTCGGCAAAGGCAAGGTCAAGTTCATCGAGCTCGATGCCGAGAAGATGGGCGATGTTTTTGCCGCGCAGGCAGAATCGTTCGATGCGGTCTGGATCTGTGAGGCACTGAGCCACTTTCCCAACAAGGCATTGTTCTTCGAAAACGCGCAGAAGGTCTTGAGAAAAGGCGGCAGGCTTGCACTGGCGGACTGGTTCAAGAATGAAGATCTAGCTCAATCGGATTTTGATAATGACATCAAGCCCATAGAAGGTGAGCTCCTACAGTGCAATTTGGTGCCTTGGATCAGCTGTGTATAGCACGAGCAATCTAACACTTTATCTAGACGGTATGCTTCTACCTCCGCTCTGCACCCAATCAGATTATACAAAGTTTGCTGCGGCAGCCGGGCTGGAAATATATGGCGGTCCGAAAGACATTAGCCGGGATGTGAGCAAAACTTGGTAAGTCTGAACCAGGCCTCAGCTGCATGCCTTGATTTAACAGGATGCCATAGGGACATATCATGGTCGCTTGTTCAAAATCCATCACTGTGGGCGTTTGCTTTGAGCCAAGGCAGAGACGGCATCGCATTTCTCCAAGCTTTCCGCGCAATGCGGAGAGGGTACGCCAACGGCAGTTTCAGATATGCCGTGATGGCCTTCCAGAAATAAGAACCGTCTTCCGTATTTTCAAATATGGCAGCCTGTCCAATTATTGCGCTCGATTGTGTACCAAGAAAGACATTTAGCTGCATGAATAATCATTAAACGGACGAGATCTGGGTCAAAGGATCCCGAAATCTTTATCGGCATTGCTATGTATGTATAGCATTAATTCCACATGTCACATAGCCGCCAAACCTCGTTGCGACCGGTCATTGGTTGCATGTGTGCGTAAATCGGGATTGATGTGTTCAAAGAAGAGGGATCAGTGGCTTTAATGGGTAGGATCTCGTGGATTGTGTAACTTTATCGCTCCTACTGGGGGGCTGAAAGACGTATCTGAGTCCGAGGCTGACGGTGATGCGAGCCGCTTAAGGCAACCCACGATTTGCCGCAGAAGCGCAATCCATATAAGCTAGCTACCGGCGATCCTTACAATGATACTTCAATCCCAACTGATGCTGGCATCAATGATTTGCGAAACAAGCGACAAATAATGAATAGACTTCCAGAGACAACAGATGGGATTGTCACAAGCTGGATTCCGATAACAACAGCATATCCACAAAAGCCGGGCTGTTCAGAGAGATACTGGTCGTATGTCGAAAGCACAATAGCAGCATGGGATCCAGGATATGGCATCAGTTATTCTGACTACGGGTGTCTGCCGAGACCCGTTACGACGTGGTGGGATCAAGATCGTCTTGGCCCAAACCCTTCAACAGTTGTTAGCCTAGGGCCAATCACTTGCCCGGACGCCTACTACACGGCATCAACATCAAAACAGGACGAGTCGAGTACATTCGTCGCTTGCTGCCCAAGGTAAAACTCTTGAAATTTGGAGCTGGTCTTTCACGACTACCACCGCACTCAAGGGACTGTACTGACACGACGCAGCGGTTATATATTCGCCGATTTCCTCGATAGGGGGTCGACTGGAGAGTGTTACAGCAAAGTTGATGCAGGAAAGGTCATAAGTTATATCATTCGGGACGAGGCGCAAAATTGGCAGGAGTCAACCCTAACTTTCGATTCGGCGACCACCGTGGCAGCGATTCAGGTCAACGGATGGGTCTTCGCCAGCCAAACCGGAACCGTTACGGGCAGCGGTTCCGTCGTATCAACGCAAGGATCAACACCCACATCAAGCTGCGCGTCAAACTCCGCGAGCAGTCCAAACCTCAGCGCCGGAGCAAGAGCAGGTATTGGAGTTGGCATTGCCTTTGGAATTATCGGTATTGCAACTTTGGCGGCCGGGCTTTTCATGATGCGCAGATCACGACGGAAGCCCAGCAACAGGAGCAGTATTAGCAGCACGACTGCTGTAGTCACGAGTAGTGTTCCTACCCAACCATCGAGCCCATTCAAATTTCAGCAACCGACAGTCGAGTTATCTGCTGGCCGCATGGCAGATGCCGAGTTGCCTGTGGCTGCGAACATGAACCACTACGCATACATGTCGAACTCGGCTCTCAGCCCCCCCTCGGCAACGACGACAACATATTTGCCTCCTGGAGACCTTCAGCCTCAAGGGTGGGCACCAAATGGCCAGTGGCGGTAGGACGATTCGCAGTATGGGAGATCTTGGTAAGATGAAAGGAAATAACGTCCTTAGTCCGAATACAAAAGGGCTCAGTAATCCTTGTGATACAATAGCAAAACATTTACAGTCAGCTGGTAGTCCGAACATTCCGGATATACAACCTGCAGGAAGACAACTTACAAATCTACATTAGCGTGGAATGACGAGGTACATTAGTTGTATGAAGTACGGCAGCGGGCATGAGGGAAGGAATCATTGTCCCGAAGTCAAGATAGTATCGAACCGAGACACTCTAGCATCAATCATTAATGACTCGGGTCTAGATACATGTAATGAAAATCTTGTCAGCTATACGAACAGCTCAAGCATCTGGGTCAATACTTATGTTAACGCAGTAATCTTAAACAACGAAAGCTTAACGGTGCGTGAACTTGTTTAAAGGAGTGTATTTTTGTTGATTATATATATACGGAAGTCTGCAATCTATGCATACTCGAATGATACCTGACCTGGAAAGACACCGAAGCAATGCTAAACACCGATGCCATGCAGTGCCCCCTTATTCACCCTTCCAACCGATGCTACCTGGATCCGATGTGGTTATGCCCATCCGTTGATGCGAATGCAAAAGCCACGCCATGAACTCCATTCCTATGCAAATGCACCGTTTATATGTACAACCAAAGGAAAGTTGACAAATGGCTGCTTAACAGTTGTAGGTCATCCAAAGCCCAGTACCCTGGACCTCGGAGAAGTTGACAGAGCCAGCCTCGCCAGCGATGCTTAGCTCAAAGCCCATAGTAGTGCGGCATGCGAAGCTGTTGATTGTGTGTAGCTGGCCGTCTGCCACAAATGTTGCTGTGCCGACGATTGAGCCGGTAGCAGGACCATCGAGCGCCTTGATATTGAGCGCTGGGTTGCCAGTAGTAGTGATGGGTGTACCAACGGGGAACTGGTATACCAAGCTACATGGACCGCGTGCATTGGCCGGGATGGTGAATGAGATGTCGTTCGGGACATTGCTTGTGGCGTCCTTGGAGATATGGAAGTTGATAGGAAACCCAAGAGCATTGGGGTACTTCACTTCGCAGGCACGCTTCTGTTGCTGTGCAGGGGCGGCAGAGACGGCGGCGGCAGCCGAGAGGACAGAAAGAACGATGGTAGTGAACTGCATCTTGATAGTGATATTTGAAAAGACTAGATTGTCTGAAGAGATATGAAAGAAAAAATTGAAAGTGAGATACTGAGGATGTTGCTGAGGTATTTGGTATAATGATGAAAATAAGAAACTATCCCTAGGGCAAGAAGCTTCTCTTATATAGAAATATGCTCAAGCTCATGATCCGTCATCAATACGAAGTTTGCGAGGAGCATGTTCTCGGCGTTCTCACCGCGTGCGCAGGTTGACTCTTGCATGAGGCAATGGCGATTACTGACAGCCGCAGCACACACTCAATACGGCTGCATCAAAATAGCAAGCAAGTAATTTAGACATCTGACCAGCTGCATCTATGCAGCCACAGAGAGCGCCATACACCCTCTATGGGAAAAGCTACCGGCAGAGGCGGCGTGATTCCTGGCTGCAAAGAGGGAGCCTGTTCGAAACGTTGCATTCCAAGTTCCGGAAGCCCATCCGTGATGATGGTTCTTGATCGGCAGTCAGATCTCGTGTTGACCCCGAATATGACCAGGTACCCGAGAATGCCGTTAAGGCTGAAGGCTCCGCCACACATTACCCAGAAGAGTGTCTTTGAGCTACCCCAATACTTCCTCTGCTTGTTTTGTGATTCCGGCGTGTAATCCAACGTCTTGGCAATATGATATCTCGACAAGGCTATTGTGTAAAAACGCTGACAAGTTAGTGTTGAATGTCGCCAGCTCGCAGCCGAGATGTTCAAGCATCGCAACTACGATACCCCAGAAGAAGGTAATTCTCGAGTCTTCTTGGCTTCTGAGTTCACGAACCATATGATCCTGTGCTTCTTTTCTTAGTCACGCCACGGCGCAAATCCACGAATGAGGGTGCAGCTCATGACATGGTCTGTTGAACCCCAGATTTTCGAGTCCCGCGCCACGGCAGCCGCTTGGGTCAGCAGCATAATTGCCAAGAGTCCAAAGAAATGTCGAGGCCGAGCTTATGACAATTGCAATGATAGCCTACACGTAAAAGCTGGAGCCTGAGCCTTAAGCGTGGCATCAGAGTAATTGATACTATCTTGGTATAACCCTCGCTGACAGACCGTGGCGTTCCGGCGTTGTGGGAGAGGCGCAGCCCGGCACATAGTGCTGACAGCATAGCATCCTGACATTTGACAGGTAGGCCGTCATCTCCGTGATTGGCTCGCGAACGGCCATGGAAGCATTTTCGGTGTCTTCCTCGGCATAGGCAGACTTTTCAGCCCAGCCCGGCAAAGCCAGTGTTTCCACTTAGAGATGGATGTGAACGGATGGGCCGTAGGCTACGAACTTGGTTGAGACAAGGCTGCTCAGCCTGACTACTAAGCTGTAGGGGGAGCTTCGTAGTCGGGTTCTCTCGAGTGTGGAATCACCAAGCGACCTTCACCGATCTAGATGGGATGTTGCATCTTCCAATAGTCTTGTCATTGGCTAATTATCGTACAGCATAATCCAAATTGCCGACCTAGTGTCATCCAAGATAATCAGCAAGCCCAAGCGCCCTCTAATGAACCAAGATCTCAGCGTTAATCGCGAAAAGAGATTCATCCTCAATCTAATCGTCTGTTCTTGGCAGCTCTGCTTGTTTCGCTCTTGGAAACACACTGCAGGGGGGTATAAGCTTAATACAGCATATTGTAGTACACTTGACAAACAAAGGAGATGGGTGCTGCTCGTCATCAGCTGGTATAGACCATATGCAAAAGCGAAAAACGAAAAAAGTCCGTCGATCGTCGTCTCGTCAATGAACGCAAGACCGTAGTGTGCTTAGTCTGCGCCATTCGCAAAATCATTATCATCTCGCGGATAAGTTCCCGGATAGGGGCTCGCCGCGCCACTTCCCTCTCCACTCGAGGAGAAATAGCTCTGGTCGATGCGGAAGATCCAGTCTAGCTTCTCGCGCTCACTGCGTGCTGCGAATAGCCATGTGTTGTCCGTCCCGTAGACAGCGAAAACGCCTGCTTGTAGCCTGTCACTGAGCTTAGCAAGTCCTTGGCCGGCCTTGCCATTGGTCGTGCCTCCAGTGCCAGTCCAGATAGTTGATATCACTCTTCCCGATGAGGTTCTTCGATGACTAGGAGTAAAGTCGCTGCCTTCACCATTTTGATGTCCATCTCCGTGATGTCCATCTCCGTCGGAGTGGTGGTCATAATCACCTCCATTCAACAGGCCCAGGATACCAGGCTGACTGTCAACCCTGGAGTTGCGCAAGCTGACTATGGCTATTTCCTCTCCGTCGGAACTATTGTGAATATGGAGGTATGGTCTGCGAAGCTCCACAAACCGCTTGACCCATCGTGTTGAATCGCTGCTAGGAACAAGCAGGTAACCACCCTTCAGCACTGTAGGGTTCTTGGGAACACGGATTATGGTCGTGATCAAGTCCGGTGGTGCCGGCGATTCTGGAGTTATTCCATTGGCTGGAGGGTCTGTATTATTAGGCCCTAGAATGTTTGCAAGTGGGTCTGGGTACCTCATCCAGAGTTTGATGCAGCGTTGTAGGACATCGGCTTCATGGTCTGTAAATTGTGGCTCTGATGACTGCTCCGCCTTTGGCTGTTGGCTCTCTTCCGTTTGTTCTGGCTCCTCTCCATCTCCTTCTTCTGTTGACAGGAGCTGTGACGCATCAGGGGTATCTTGGAGAAGCTCGTCAATCGAATCCACGTCGTCTGCACGAGACTTGGGCCGCGGGATGTCAGAGTCCGATTGATCATCGTTGTCATCCACCTTGTTTCTGGGCTCCGGCATGCCAACCCTCTTGAGCAGGTTTTGAATTGCACCGATCTCCGCAATTCGTCTTCTTTTCTTCTTGGAATTGATGTAATCACTTACAAGAGATACCCCTCGTGGAGTCCAAGCAGTCAGGTATTCCTCGCCCTTAACGTAATCATGCTGGCTGTTCATTCTCCATAAGTCGCCTACTTTCTTGATGGGAGCTGGCTTCATCTTCAGAGTGAAGATGGCAGTCGAGGAGTGAACGAACCGAATGTTCTGCCACAGAGACGAGAACATAGATGTCTGTCTTACAAATGATCTTGACAAAATCTGCAAGCAGGCATTCATGGAGAACTTCATTGGCTCGGCGAGCTTCTCAGAGCTCACGTCCCAGGCAATCGCCATCTGAACACGATACTTCTCAGCTGTCGTCCGATCGAGGAGTAATGAATCGTGTAAGCTAGAGTCCCACTGCGCGCTTATCGTTATACTTCTCGTGCCGTTGGCGTTTTGTCGGAACACTGGCTTCGAAGATAGTTTTAAGGGGATGTATGGAGAAGGAGATCCCAAGTCTGGTGTCTTGCCTGCGGCATCAAGGAGCTGGATTTTCCCAACTCTCATAGATGTCACATCATCCCAAGGTAAAGCATCGCCCGAACTGTGTGACAGGTTGATTGCAATCCGCCTTTGCAAACCTTGATGCAGCTGAAACGTACCACTATCAAGTTCGCTAGTCTGGGTGACTTCAACAGGAGCGTACTCGCCAGCTTCGTTGAGCTCCAGGATCTGGATGCGAGCCAGCAAGTCATGCTTCTCCTCGGTGTAGAAGTGAGACTCTGCAATACGAGCGGACTTGGGCCGACTTCTGGACAGTGGCACACCATCCCTCATATCATCCCAGCTTAGGAGCTTGTCAAGGTGCATTGAAGTCACCTTTGCAAAAATAGCCACGCGAAGCGTGACATCTGGAGGGCTGAAGAGAGGAACGCTCATGCTATGAACGCTTTCAAATCTTATCGGCTCTTCATCGAAGTCTTTGATCATTTGTGTGGTCGTAACCCCGTCTTCCTCAGAAACGCCTGGGATGAAGATCTGAGCATGCACTTCTGTGCCTTCTCGCTCCGGAAAGCCCACCATTTCATGCATGACAACATTGAACTTGAGGGTATTGGTAGGTGCTCGTGCGCTCGAAGGCTCCAAGGCAAGCTTAATGATGCCAATTGTTTGTGAGGTATGGGGGGACAAAACATCCAGATGGAAATCCTGAACACGACTCTCAAAGACAGCTTTGAGCGGCACATCAGCTTCTCCCACCAGCGTGTACTGAGGCATGCAAGTCTCAATGAATGGGTTGTCCAGGCTGAGATGTTGGGCATACTCTGGCTGATCGAGATACTGATGCATTTGACGCATCTGCCTCACACGGTCATGCAGCTTTTGCAAGCTCCATAGGTGGGCAACATTGTGCTTGTAATCGACGACACGGACGCCAATACAAGGCTTTTGCGCTTGCTCGAGAGCGATGTCATCCCCCTCACCGGATAGCCCATTTAGGACCATGTCGTATGAGGAGCATAGAGTATGCCCGGCGTCCACAACACAGAACTGGAAGACAACATGTTCATCCAACTCATGGCTCATGACCTGCGCTTCCTTTAGGGTGGCAGCGTGCTGAAGTACGGCCTCGGCCATGCGGACGTATTTCCGGCTTCTCCAATGTTTGACAACTTTCTTCGCTATCTCGATCTCCTCTTCAGAGAGCTTCGGCTTGGCTTTGGGTCTTTTCAACGGATCGAGTTTCTCGATCTTTGCTTCATACTCCTTTCTTTGGACATCCAGCTGCTTCTGCATATCTTGCTTCAACTGTTTCAACGTCTCTTCCATGCGAACCTTCTCTTTCTTAATTTCCTCAACTTCGACATTCGCAGCTTCAGCACTCTTTAGCTGATCTTGGAACTGCTCTTTCTGCTTATCGAGCTGAGACTGCATCTCTTCGCGAGCTTCGCGCAAGGAGTCATCAGCCTCTCCTTGTTTCGGCGTCGAGGGCATTGTGAGCGCTGTGTCTAACGAGAAATTATCGATAGTTCCTGTTGAGAGGTACTTTTCTCGGATAGGATAAGATGCCATGGATTCCATGTCTTCGTCTCCTCTCTCCATGACACGCTCTGCGCGAGCGCGCTGGACTTCCTCAAACAAAGCATTCAGTTCTTCATCTGTAAGGCTCGTGAAGTTTTGATCTGTTCCAAGAATAGCTCCGGCCGCCTCTCGCCGAGCAAATGACCAGTCTGAATCCCGACCGCTTCTCTGAAATGGAGCTGGAGAGTCTGGCCGACTCTCACCAATCTCAGAGCCTGCTTTGCTCCACGAGCGTTCATGACCACCAGGTCGCGGGCTATGAGAAGGCGATGTTCGCTCGAGACCCTGAAGTTGACTGACGGTAATAGACTGCCGTAGAAGGCTCTGACTGTGCTCTGCGCGTTCTGCTTTGGCTTCCAGAGGGTGATTGAATCTGAAAATGTGGAAGTCTCCTAAGATAACGCGGTATCCCGAATGCAGCTGCTTTGGTTCGGTGACTCGCTTGCCATTAACCATGACTGCGGCGCCTTCCATTGGAATCAATGTAACAGTTCCATCCGCAGCATTCTCGAAAGAACAATGCTCATGTAATATTCGAGAGCCATTCAGCCGAATGTTTGCTTGGTGATCTGCATTTGACTCCACATTGCCAACTGTCGTTGTCCCTGGCTTTAAATTGTAAACTAGACATTCGGCGAGAAGAGGATCATCGGACAGGTTGACCAAGTGCGGCATCTTCTTAGGCGTACTTAATCCGATGAATCCCTTCTCTATGCTGATACCAAGTTCTTCCAGAGCAGCTTCTCGCTCTTTGTGGATCTCTTCGGTCTTTTGCAACTTCTGCTCCCAGGTTTGGTTTAGGTCCTGCAGCAGCTTCTCACTTTGATTCAATTGCTCAGCAATCTCAGCCTTGGAAACTTTCTTGACCGTTCCGTCGGCCTGTGTAATGCTAACAATCTGTTGTTCAAGGGGTGTTCCTTCGGCATACACCTCCTCGGGTGGTACTGCGATGCCAGCCGCTCCGCCTCCGCCTCCCATTTTGCTTCGTAGAAGCGCCAGTTCCTCTTTCAGTTCTCTGATCATGCGAGCATTGGCGTCCTCGTTGATCACGGCGTGGTTCTTGATTCTCTTTGCAGAATCAGCATATCGAAGCGTGCTAAGAGTCTCGTCATAGTTGATATCAGCTGGACTGATAGCAGCAATCATAGCTGTCATACTGTTTCCTCCTAGCGAGTCTTTGAGAAGCCATGTCAGAACACTGTCTCTGTAAGGCACTTGGGCATGTGCGCCTTTCTTCTTCTTCCCCGTGGAGAGATCAGCGAGCGCCGCAATAACACGACCTAAGGTAGACAGCGATCGATTGATCTCAGCACCTTCCTTCAACCGCGCTCCAGTGGCACCGGTAGATGTAGCTCTTTCGGAACCAGCCAAATCCACCAGACTAATCTTGGCCACCTTCTCCATCTCCATCTTGGTCTCAACATCAAATTTCTTTTGTGTAAGCATGAGCGTGAAGACTGCATGACTTCGACTGGACGTCTCGTTCATGTTCGTGGCTGCAACTGTTCTCGCCTTGTTACCCTCGTCCATGAGGTGCTCAATCTCCTGGAAGCTGCCAACGACCAACTTTGCAAGATCTTCGACATAAGGACCAGTAGAGGGATGTTCTCGGACCTTGAGGTTTCCTTTTGTTGATGGATTAAGAAGATCGCGGACGCGCTCATTGTAAATTTCGAGATATGATACCTCGACCGTGCACTTGGAGTTCGGGTCTGCTTGCTGCAGAGCTTGGATGCGCATAAACATATCCTGACAAATGTTCGGAATGATACCATGCTCTTTCCCATATCCCATCATAGAGTAAGACTTTCCAGAACCAGTCTGGCCGTAGGCGAAGATACAGTTGTTGTAACCCTGGAAGGCATTGTCCAGGAGCGGCTTTCCGAGGTCGTCGTGCAGATTGGACTGGCCGGCGTAATTTGAATCATCCTTGTTGAAGGACCAGTACGATCTGTCAAATGCGAAAACCTTCTGGCCATGATCTTTCCCGCCCTTGCCTCCACCACGCTCGACCGCATCGGGTGGCGGAGTTAGGACGGTCTGGTTGTCACGCATTTCGACGATACATTTTGCGCCTCGGTCGATTTCTGTTCACCAGACTCGTCAGGTATGATTCGCAAGAGAGATGCGACACGGTGAAGGGCATGCGCGGCTTACCTCGTCCGTTGAACGGCCGGACACGAACCACGACCTTGATGTTGCCGCCGCCTCCGGCGGGAGCTGCCCCCGGAGCCATGATGATTGTGCTGCAGACGAGCTGCTTCAGATACTATAGATATTCCCAGTAGGGCCTCGCCCGTGGTGCCGCCAGCCTCGTGTCCCTTCACGGCCCGTCAGACTACAGCTGCAAGCCCGCGAGATCAGACGGCTGAGGGTCTAGTATATTCCACCAACGAGTCCCAGCATATGATCCCAGCAGCTTCTGCGAATATCCAAGCTCATTCTACCAGTCTCAGTTTCCAGTGGAAAGGCAACAAGCGACTCGCGTGGCTCAGTTTGGCTGTTTCGTTGTCGTGAATGAACCTTCTGCCCTGCGACAGAAGGCAATCTCCAGGTGGCCGTGCCGAGGATACTTTTGACGATAGGCTGCGGGCAGCGTGAGGATAGCGACGAGGGCTGATGACCGGGCCGCAGGCCTCAAAAATGTCGTGTTTGAAGTCGCAGACTGTGGCCGCCTTATTCTGAAGTGCTATCTCGTGATTTCCGGTATCGATGTCGTTGAGTGATGCAGGTGGAGGAAGTGGATCTGAAGGGTCTGGTGTCAACAAATTTGGCGGGAGGGATGAGGACGCGACCACGCGCTGTGCAGTGTGCAGTGTTCTGTATTGCATAGTACCTCTTTAAGCCAAATTCACGTGTCTGGCTCCCAAGGCATACCCCCCAGAAAAGTCCCTGCAGGGGTAGGTGACCTCATGCTGAAGAGTGCCCCCCAAAGTCGCGGGAATGACGCCGCCTGCTCCGTTGTTTCGACGGCCGCTTCTCTTCGGGCCACACCAACCAGGAACTCCCCTGTGTCTCTTGACCCTGTTCTTTATGCATCGCAACACCTTGAGCTCCAGGCAAGAACGCAATCTACTGCAAGAGAGTCCTACAAAAATTACACAGGATTGCATTACCTACCAAGTGACCCAAGGGCACAGTTGCGGGCAGAAGTACGACTTTAAATAGCTCCAAGCTGCTCTTTGCAATGGTCTTATTACTATATATCCTAGAGCCTCTTCTTACCGATCTTGCGGTCACGAATGACTACCATTCGATAGAGAGTTGTTGCTATAGGTGAACTAAGGTAAGTGTGGCATCTGTTTCCAAACGCATCTAGCCAGGACAATCTCCAATATCTCATCTCACGCCTCACTCGCACGCAACTACCCATACACCAATGCCATCAGTGTAAGGAGTTGGACCACCTTCTGGAATATCAGATACGCGCTCAGGAAGGCTTGTCAGAGAAATGAGAGACTTACCAGCTTGGAGAAACTGCAATGCGAAGCCGTACCAGCTCTCCGCCAGCCACAGCACGTCTCCGATTGCACTCGCGCCGCCTCCACATTCAAACGTCGCAACGGTCAAGTTGTCACCAGGGAAGGGCTGTGAGAAGCCTATCTCCTGATAGTTGCTCATGTTGCCCTGAGAGGTCCGTCAGCATGCTTGTCCAGCAATGTCAAGGCCGTCACCTACACTATTCTGGATCCGACGCCAATATACGCCAGAGTTGGCGGTCATTTCCTGCTCCATGCCGCTATAGATATAGCACGGGTATCCAGCCTGTAGTTCCGAGCAGTACGGGAAGCGGAATTGCAGCGCACAAGTGTGCGACAGGTTATCACTCGCTGGGAAGTCGGTGCCTATCGAGAAGCCGAACAGCGTGCTGTTCGCCTGGTTGATCACGGCCACATTCTGGGGGTCTGCGTTGTAAATGCTTTGGTTCGCCGGTCCAGTGTAAACATACAGCGGAGCTAAGGAAGGAAGCGACGGAGACACGTTGCAGGTGGGTGTGGGAGTCCCGGTTTGCCGCGCCCGTATGGGTGATTCGTCCTCTGTAGGAAGAGGATCGGGCTCTATTAGTCGAAGGTCCAGGTTATACTCCCCAAGACTCTGAGACGGAGCGATGTAATCGTTGAGCCATAACCTGCCCTCGAAGCAGCCGTCATGGTCTTCTTGGATGCCTGAGAAGACCCGAGGGCTGTCCTCATCCTCCTGCAGAACATCACAAACTACCCACGCATCCTCTCCGTCCGCGGTCAAGAATCGCCGGCCTCCCGAGGTGCCTGTGAAGGCCCAGGCTGTTTGGGGTAGGTCGACGGCGTCCGAACACAGAAACTCATGTGTTTCGTCATCTAGGAAACAGGTGCCGCCCAACGCATCGTGGAGAGTCTGTCGAGCAGCACTGAGTTCGAATAGCTCGGATGATGGCCGAGAGTGCCTGGATTCTTCCTCGGGTATAGTCGAAGTGGTCTCATCGAAATCTAGGTGGAATCGGTACGAATCTGACTCTGAGTCGCTTTCACGGTTCGCCAGACCAGAGACAAGCGGCGTCAGGAGGACGGCAACTGTTGTCGCCTTCATGATGAAGTTCTAGGATGCTGATTTAGAGACAGAGAAGGTTGTGTCTCAGGTCGCGAAGATGGCGTCGGTAGCAGTAGTTACAATTTGAGCAAAGTGAGAAGTATGATGATCAAAGGCATGTGGAAACTGCCGATGTTATGACGGCGCTGCTGTTGTACAATGACTTGTTTGCTCGACAAAAGTGAAGAGCTAGCGAAAGGAAGGCAGGTTCACGCGCGGTTACCAGAACCTAGGCGAGTATGGCAAAAGCGAAGGTCCCACAGAAGATACTCTTGTTTAATGAGTGCATGATATTAGGACGAGTCGCTCTTGTGTTCGTAGTCCAAGAAACGAAGAAGGCACGGTGCAGCAGTGTAAGCGAGGATCTCAGGGAAAGAGAAAAGCTTCAGTTCAATGAGTCGCGTTTCCATTTCCGTAAATTAGATAAACAACATTCTGCAACGCCGAGAGTGATCACCCAAACTCTCTATTGACAGCAGAATGTTTCGAATCCACCGTTTGCCCGGTTAAGTGTCATGTTAGGCTTGAGACAAGTGCCGCGCTGTAAAAGCGCGTGTTTTGATCATCGCGATATGATGAAATGTGTCTCGGATCACGCGGTGAAGCTAAGCCATCCCTTGTATTTGCGCCGCGATTCTACCCCAGAATGTGGCCCTTTGGCGTCTTGGCGGCTGTTGTAGCACCAAATGCCACAACTCAAGGGCGTACAATGGCATGTAAGTACGCCCTCGCTAGAAAGTTGTCTGCAAAGAGACCGATATACTAATTGATCAAAGCGGCGCTTAGTTGGACACATCCGCAACATATATCAGGCTGACCACGGGCCTAACGATCGTGAACATCATAACTCATAATTCAAGCAACTGTATACATGAATCGTTTACGGATTAGCAACCATAAATTGCTCTTACCATTGCCGCTGGGGATGGCGCCTTTGTCCCGGATTCAGACATGCCAAGCAAATTAAGGGTCCAGCATTCCTCATGATATCTCTAGTTTCCCTACCAGAGGCAGATCCCGACTGCTTGACCCAACAGACACTGTGTAATTTCCTTGCTGCAGCTTCCACTTCTGCGCTGTCGTGTCCCAAAAGCTAAGATCCCGGCGTGTCAGCTCAAATGACACCGTCGCCGTTTTCGTAGCGTTGATGAACGGCTTGTCAAACCCTCTCAGTTGCCTCACTGGTGCGTTACCGGGTATCCCAACGTAGAGTTGCACGACTTCGGCACCATCGACATCGCCCGTATTCTTCACTTCGGCTGTTACCTTCGCCAGGACGTCCCAAAGATCTACCTGGCCTCCTTCTCTAATGGCGCCAGTGGGATACTCTGCAGTCGTCGCATTATCCACCTTGCTGATGGTTATGTTTGAATAGTTGAAAGTAGTGTATGACAACCCAAAACCAAACTCGTATCGTGGAGTAATATTGTTAACATCAAAGTGACGGTAATCAACATAAATGCCCTCTGTGAAGTTGGACTGGGGGAACAGCTCGAAGATGCCTTCCGGCAGATCTGGATCTACTACGTCCCCATAGTCCGACTCGTTGCGTGCAACTGTGTATGGAAGCTTTCCTGAAGGATTTGACTTGCCATACAACAGCGACACGAGCGCTCTGCCGGAGTCCTGGCCGGGTAGATGCGCGAAGATCAAAGCAGTGACGTTAGGATGATCAATGAAGCCATCTACCAAACGAACACCCGCATTATGGAAAATGACGATTGTGTTATTGCATCTATCCGCCACGTGCTTGATCAAACCATCCGTAAAATCGTCACGTATGGAAGGCCGATCATAGCCTTCTGCGGCATAAGCGTTCCCAAACACGAGGCATGCATCGGAAGCCGGATTGACTGCTGGGTCGCTTAGACGAAAATCCCAGAAGAGGGCAGTGTCATCTTCGTATGCCTGCTGTGTAATTGCCTCAAATGGAGAGCTGACAAGCGACTGTGACGTTGCACCAGAGCCACCTCCGGAGAAGAGAGTTCCATTGTAAGCTATCGGTGAGTAGATATGGTTCTCTTCAGCACTATTGGTGAAGCCCGCAACCAGATCACTGAAGTTAGAAGATGTCGCGCCGAGGATCCAAGGTGCCAGACCAAATCCTACATCGTTCTGGTCAGTGACCTTAGCCGAATAGCCGAATATCGAGAGCATCTTTGGTGTTTTCAGAGGCAAAGCCTTATCAACGTTCTTGACCAGAACATGCCCCTCAATCGCTCCATTCAGTAAGGTGGACTTGAACGTCGAATTTCTTGCATCGACGATGCGATGAGGTTTCGTCAAGTCTCCAGGCATGCCGATTCCAGGTGATGGGAAACCTTTGTCTTGCCCCATCTGATACCACGAAGCAATGATTCTGATAGCCATGTCATCTACACGAGATTCAGGAACCGACCCGTTTGTGACAGCCAGTGACAGGTTGGGCCCCCAGACTCCTCTGTCAGTAGGCATAGTCATGTCGAGGCCAGCCAATGCTGTTGCAACACCGGCGTGCTGAGCATCCCAGTCAGACACGACGAATCCCTGGAAGCCGAGTTCAGTTTTCAAGATACCGTTCAGAGTATAGCTATTGGCGCATCCGTATGAATTGTTGATTCTGTTGTAGGAGCACATAATATTGGCACTCCCTGCACGAACTGCATCCGCAAAAGGCCACAGGTAAAGCTCATGCATCGTTTGATCATCAATGTTAGACGAAACTGATTCCACATCATTTTGCGGCTGCCGATTGGTTTCTTGCTCGTTGGCGATGTAGTGCTTCGTGCTAGTAATGACTCCCACGTCCTGGACCCCAATAACAGTGTCGTAGACAAGTGCACCAGAGAGATAAGGGTCGATCGAGAAACCTTCCCAGATTCGTCCTGACTTTATGGTACGTCCAGCAGGACCAACCACAGGACCAAGGAGAACGTTCACACCTTTCTTCCTAAACTCGCTGCCCATGCCAACGGCTCGTTCTTTGGCAAGATCCCGATTCCAGCTTGCACCGACGTGAATGCCACTGGGCCAAGAGCTGACGAAATCAGTCGATCGGATCCCATTGCCGGCATCACTGAGGCAGAGGCCGGGAAAGTCCAGCCGATCAATGGCAGGGATATTTCCGCTGCAGCCATCGTCCGTACGCACACCAACCGTCAGACTAATTTTTTCATCCAGGGTCATTTTGCCAACGAGGCTCCTTGCCTTGTTAAACGAGTCTGCCCACGAACCAACTCCGGTCATGTTGGGAGACGGATAGAATGGTGGCGACTGGCCGTAGAAGTACGTGTCGTTTGTAATACGATCATTGCTATCACTCTTTTGGCCGTGCGCACCATGTGGGAGGGCTGCTAAGCCAGCGAGACCGCCACCGATAATAAGCAACAGCATGATGATTAGAACGGCGATGCCTTTCTTTGTCTGAAGGAATGGAAAGCGATGTGTGACCCTCGACCAGAACCCGGTCTTCTCTCTAGCTGTGATTTCCTCCTTAAGAATCGAGTCGGCTGGCATGGTTGTGGTTGTGGTTCAAGTGACGTTTTCTGAGGAGTTTTGATTTTGATGATCCAGAACGAGGCAACTCATTGCTTACAGGCAATGCAATCTCCGCAAGTTGTCGTGATAATTTTATGTTTGACAACTTATGGTCGCACGCCGTTTGTCCAATAAGTGGCTGCAGCCTGGATAGAAAGTTCGACCAACCAGTTGATTTTATGCAGTTTAGGTGAAACAGCAGGTTGACGAGCGTTGGATCAAGTATTGGCACGCTGCAAGCTGAGCTGTTATGTCGAATGGAAAGAGTCCTTGCGGTAAATATAACTAAGAGTGTTTTATGAGTGGAAGAGGAATAATCAACAAAAAGCGGAAGTCGAGGACGGACTGTTGCCAGGCGCCGATGCTTCTACCCTGTTTGCCTTGATGGTCATTGCATGGCGAGCGCCGCCTCTACATAGAGTTAACGTCATTAGCGCCTGATTGGTTCACGCCATCGTCCACATGGCAACTGAAACCCCTGTCATTCAGGGAAGCTTGACCGGGGTCCCGCGATTGCGGGGAGCCACCGATGGGATGCTGTGTGACAATGTAGATAATTTATAGATAATTAATGTAGACGCCTCTCAACTCGATATCATTTCTACCACGAATGCTTCTTCGAATACAACAGCTCTTTGGGGTGATAGCTTCGACTTATGAGTATGTTAGACGATCATGAAGTGCCTTTCAGCATTTCAAGGCTAGCGTTAGCGAGCATGACCCATACTCTGCTTAGTTGTCTGTGTGACAGATAGAACGTAGATAGGAATAACTCTCATACTCCCCTTTTTGAACCATAATTTTATGGTTCTTCCAAAGGTTCTGCTCCTCTTGACGTAAGTCATGTAGTGAGTTTACGATGAAAAGTGACAAACAAAGCACTGGCAGGCACTTTGCACCCTTTGTGTCGCACTCGGGCAAATAATTAAATTGAAGCCGACCCGTGGCTTTGGCGGCGCAAAGACTGCATCTGCATCTTTAAGCCTCGAGTGGGAGTTTCGTATCTTATGTGGCATCGCACAGTCACAGATTTTTATAACAATCTACACTCCCATTGGGAGCTGCTCGCCCATCCAGCGACTGTACGATGTCATGGAGGTCACGCAAAATATGTATCTTCATCACAGTCACGAGTTTTCTGCCACGGAATCTGACAAGTTGTTTTGCAATTCGTTTCATTGATTCATAGAAGTCGTGCTCAAGCTTAGAGCTTGTGTCTTAGTATGCCTTCTCGGCCGCCTCCAACCTCCATTGGCAGTCTTTTCTGACGCTGCTCAGCCAAGATTAGGATACCTCGCGCATGGCTTGAGGCCACAGTCAGACATGCGAGCCTCCTGACACAGAGGAGATGGTTTCTGACCAGAGAGAGATCCATTCTAAGCCCCTGCCAACCATCCCAACCATTTTAACCCTCCCGCCCTGCGTCCTTCATGGGCTTTTGCAAACATAACCGCCACCATGGCCACCGCTATGGCCGTCAGGTAAATATATAGACAAGCTAGGACAAGTATGAGAAGATAATGTACATCCAACAGATGGAGGAGGTAGTTGTGAGTGACAATTAAGATGATAGAAGTGTGTGAGGTATATGTAGACAAGGTAGAGAGGAGGCAGGTCTGGTCTGGGTGGGAGAGGGTAGGTTCGCACAGGGTATGAAGGCTCGTCTGTCCTATAGAAGGTTAGGTGGTATGTATATGTGAGTGTATCATCGCAAGCATGCAGAGTGTTATCAAGTCTAACAAGACAGAGAAACTCGCGCGCCTGCTGATGCAGCACACATCACCAAACCAACGCTCATATTGTAGGCCTAGGTTGATTGGTAAGTATGCTGTCGACGCGCGAGGAGTGAGTGGGTGTCGTTCACAAAATGAGTTGCTTCAAATTGCGTTGTATGATCATGTCTTGGACAGATCCCATTGTAATTTTGAGGAGGTTCGTGTCGGTTGCGTTCGTGAAGTGACCATAGATTTCCTTCTCTGGATTTCTGTTCAATGCCCGGAACTTGTCCATGAAGTATTTGCTGGCTTGTTTCCAGTCATCTACAGGACCGTGGTAGTCTGTGAAGCCGTGTTGAGTGATTGGATTCTTTGCAAGCTTCTCCTTGAACAGATCCATCTTGTTTAGGAACAGAATCAATGCTGATTTGGTGAACCAGTGGGAGTTGGCTATCGATTCCCATAGCATCAGCGCTTCATTCATTTGGTTCTGCAAGGATTGTTAGCTCGAAACACCATTTCAATGCTGCCAGAGAAGACGTACGCCATCCTTATCCTCAACTAGACATTGATCATACCCAGAAATGGCAACCAAGAATAGCAGAGAATTGACATTTTCGAAGCAATGAATCCACTTCTTCCGTTCTGACCGCTGACCACCGACATCGAACATGCGATATGTCAGCTGGCCCAAATCGAACACCGTCTCGGTGATACCGGTGGTTCTTAGCCGTGACCGTAGTAGATCTTGGTCCGTAGGCACATAGCCTGGGTCCCAGAATCTGTCCAGGTCATCGCAGAAGCTAGAAGCAGGTCAGATAGGACTATCAACAAGTTTGGATAGGATGTCATACTAATCTAGGTTGTCGTGAAGAGCGAACTCGTTGCCCTTCAAAATGGTTTGCTTCACACCGCCGTCCAGCCATAGTTGTTTGACCGGCTCCAGGTACTCAGTAGGCAGAGGATCCTGCGGGCTCAGCTCGAAGTCTACCAATATTTGGGACATGTTTTTCTGTCAACAGGTAAGTCGGGTCGACCAACCACAGACATCCACATCAAATGGCCCCATTAGACTGGTATTGCCCGATGATTTACTCACCTCGTTTTCTTCGTTCTCAAATTTGATACCAAGTTCGTTCATCGCTTCGTAGATTAGGCGAAAAGACTGGACTATGTTCTGAAATACCACGGGCTTCCACTCCAGCTTCTCATTCTTGCTAAATCCTTGTGCGTAGATCAACTTCATTTGCTTCAGAACCGTCGACTTTCCAGACTCTCCAGCACCTACAGATAACAGTTGGTTAGTTTGGCAGTCGTGTGCAGTCGGAGTGGTAGCAAGGAAGGCAATCTACCTAACAACAGAAGCTTCACTTCCTTGGCCATGCGCTTTTCATCTGCTTTGATGATCTTGTCCAGCTCGCGAGACCTGACTGCGCTGGCCGCATCATCCTTGTCGCGACTTCCGAAGCACATCTTGAATCCGGTCTGCCGGGCAACCCTGGCCCCAATCTGTGGTCAATTGGCTAACAGAACCAAATCGCTGGCACAGAAAACAAGTCGGCGAGGCAGAAGTGTCTACTCTGAGCTATGCTCCGACGACACGACGCGGAGTTTTGTTCGAGTTGTGTTGAGCAAAGAGGAAGTCGGGCACAACAATCCTTCGGCTAGCAGGGTACAATGACGACGGTGGAGGTTTCGGGAAGGTCAATGCGATGTGAGCATAGGGGTTAAGGCAGCTCGTGTAGGCGTGTCTGGGCGATGCGAACAGCCACTCGCAGCGGAAGCTATCGTAAGGAATCGTCTGCAGGATATTGGCTTGATTCAAGTTGTTAGGAAGATCAGACAGCGAACGGCTCGGGAGAAAGATGGAAGAAAACGAACCCTTCTGCATTGCACCGCACAACTACACACAGCACACCACTGCAACTGCCAGGAGGCAGACGAGTCAAGAGAGTTGCAACCGAAACGGTGATTATCCTCCCCACTCCCACACCCTGGGAAGCTTTTTGGTAATGGGTAAGAGCTCCTGCACCTAGCAGGGGTCCTCCTCAATGCTCTCCAGGGATGTACCTGGTACACAGCCACAAACACGCTACTCTGTGCACTTGCAGGCCTCTGGTACAAGTCCGGTTCGGTGGAATATTCCTTTTTCCCTATCAAAGGGCCACTTGCGTTATGTGGGCGGTCGACCGTCGTTTCTGGACCAGGTCCCTCTCTTCCTAACGTTGACGATCGCAACTACGAGCAAATACGCGGCCATGCCGGATGGGCAGCATTCGACTTCGAAGCCTTCTGGTCCAGCTTCATGTCGCCCAAAATGGACCACTTTCCGGTACACTAAATACTAGAATATACCATCTCCAAAGTGACCTACCGGTACTATGATGAACTGACAGGGCGAATGGAAGACAGGAAGTCTGGCTCTGAAGGGAAGTATCTGCTCTACAGTCCACCGGTCCTGATCCTTAGACCTGAAGTCTGACAAGCGGGAGACTAACTAGTGTTGTAGGTCTCTGACCATGTGGCTTTTGGGGGTCATCGATGGCGTTTTCTGGGTCTTGAGCAGGCCAACTTTGCTGACTGCGAGATGCAATGCCGTGCCTGCCGCGGCATGCAGCAGCTTCTGCTTGCATTGGCAATGTTTCTGATGTACACCTGGCTGCTTGCATCTGCTTTCCTCTTATTCTCCCCCTTTTGCCTTTTTCTCTGATGGTTCCTCAACATGCCTGTAACATCTGCTAGGCTGAAAACGGGCTGGCCATGGGTGGGACGCAGAGCGGATTTGTGGGGCCGGAATTATGCTTCAGGTTGCCCAAAGGCTGCAAGCAATCTCCAGGAGGTACTGCGTACTGCATAGTACTGCAGAGTAGCTCGCGGATGGAGCCGGGCATGCAGGTCACGCTCTTCTCATTGATCAATGGCTCTCCAGGCTTGCAGGACCACCAGAAACCCCTGAGGGTCTCCTATCCGGCGCCGGCTCTCTTGGGAGAAAGCAGCGAGATCAGAAACCACTGCTACCTATCGCCCAGTTGACTTGTCTGCCCGCCCGTCCATCGACGACCGAGCCAAGCCAGTTTACCAGCAACTCACATGCCGCGCCAACAGACTCGTTTGAAACAGCATCGGTCACGCCAATCTAAGCGCTGCCGACGGGAATGGCAGCGGGAGAATCGCACGGGATTTCGCAGCCATGTGGATGGCCTGTCAAGTCGGTCCACGGGGGGTTTGGTCTGTGTGGGGCAGAACATCCATTGCTTTCCGGGTTCAAGGTCCAGTAACTGGCAAACTGCTGGCATCGAGCACCACAGAAGAATGAGGAGTGGAATGGCTCCTCCAGACAGGAACTGATCAGCCATGCATCAGACTCCCCCAGCTCTGGGTCCCGGTCCTGGCTCCCCTTTTCCCATTTCGCGAAAAGAGGTTGCCTGTGGATGCCAGTCGTACCACTCGCCATATCGCCCCCGTAGGATGAACGCCTGCATCACAAGCGCAGGCCCCCCCGATGGCTATCGTCAGATTTGCTTATTCCTGAGCATTTATTGCTTCTTGCCGTTAACGAAGCGTGTCTCTGCTACAGCACGTGTGGCTTGCCAAGGGTGACGACGAGGCGCTCTTCCAAGCCCAATCGCAACGGGAGCGCTTTGGTCACCACGTCCGCTAAGTAGTCGGTACACCAGGCTAAAAGCGAACCTTATTTCTCGGAAATACCTAGGGCGAGTGCCCAGAATAATTGGAATCAGACGGAGGTAACAGGTTTGATATGCCTGCATCACGGTTGACTATGTCGAGTTACAGTAGGAGGACAGTTTAGTGTCGGATCCAGAACCGCTGATCCAAAGACTTACAGAATATGATATTGCGGATGCAATAGTTGGGATAGGATGCAGTATTATCTGCTTTTCTTAAGCCACACGTTGTCCGTGCCGCAGCCACAGGGGCAGAGGTCAAAATGCGCCTAAAATGACAATACAGTAAAGCCAGTGCATATGCTGATTATGTCTCTTGACCAGACGGATTGAAGGGATGTGCATTTAGCAACACCAAGATGTTATGCTTCAAATGTGCCGCTTTCTTCTCAAGCCGTCTCGAAGAGCAGCTCACTTCGCGGGACGGATGTCAATGTGTTAGGCACTGCTCGTGATCAAGGACGATGAGCATCCTCATATGGTATCGCCATGCAATTAATAGACTTGCCCTCAAGAATTACTATTTCGAGGACAGTCTTGCGCCTAAGTATTGTAGATCCCCTGTTTTTGATGTGCATTGCACCGTAGAGCCAGTGTAATTCACTCTAGAAGCTTTCCCGAACAGGAGCCCCTGCCATCCAAGTAGTTACCCACCGTCTGAGCGAACTACAACTCTTATCAAAGGATGTAAGGCCAAGCTACATAGGTAGCAGAATATCTCGCATTCTCATACACGCTACCATCATAAATATCATGTGTTTAACGGCCAGCTTGCTTTTTGCCTCACTCCAGCTGTCGACAAGATGGCTTCCTCACCTTTGCAGCCTCTTCATGTCGATCTCACTACAAAAAATGAGTTTCGGTTGCTTGAGAAGCCGCAAGCGTTATTTTTGATATGTTGGGTGTCTTCAGATGAAAATCCACTAAGAATACTTCGAGTGGAATTGGCTGAAAAGGTGTTTGTGTCACAATAGAGATATTGTCGTGTGCTGTAAACACTTTGTATGTCTGTCTGTCTCTCTGGAAGATCTCCACTTTATTGGGCGAAAGTTGGGCTCTGAGGCTCCCGCCGGCTCAAACCACACATCCCGCTTTTTTCCCTCACCTGCTGCGGGAAACGTAAAAAAAATAGAGGAAAAATTTTCGACGAGACACCAAAACTTTGCCTCAAATTGGATTGCTTTTAAGGCTGCTTACTCCCATAGCAAGAAAGTCGACCGTGGCTCTTTTAGCTCGACTTTCTGTACGTCGCTTCACTTCATTGATAGACTCATCACTCTGTCGAATTAGGACCCCTCAGAGGACCATATCCAAAATGTCTGGAGAAATTACACACGCCACCATCAAAGGTACTGCCTATTTCTGGCTCCCACGTTCATCAGAACCCCACATATCAAAACCCCTTGTTCTCTAATCTCACCAACACCCATGTTGATCGTGTTTGAGAATTTGATATCGGCTGGATGTCACTCTATGTTTCTATTGCCTCAGCCATTTTGGATTGATATTCTAGCATCTCGGGGGAAGCCTGAAGGCGGGTTGGATGCAGCCTAGGCAAAATGTAGTGCATTGTTGTCTGTGTGCCTCTCATTGCAGATCTCCCATCAGCTATGATCCGCTGGAGATTATTCACGAGGTGGCACGGATCGAGTGAAGGCGCAACACGCCTGGACCTTTTGGATAAACTGTCTTTATGGTTGTTGGTTTCGTGAAGTCTGCAAGTAGTTTCGTCGGGATTCTTGCTAACTATGGCTATCTTATGTAGATGGTTGGTTCCGGGAGATCTCAGAGATGTGGCCTGGCCAGGCCATGACCCTCAAGGTGAAGAAGGTCCTTCACCATGAGAAGAGCAAGTACCAGGATGTCCTGATCTTTGAATCCACCGATTATGGCACTGTTCTCGTCCTGGACAACGTCATCCAGTGCACTGAGCGTGATGAGTTTTCTTACCAAGAGATGATCACTCACCTGGCTATGAACTCTCACCCGGATCCCAAGAAGGTCCTCGTCATCGGTGGTGGCGACGGAGGTGTCCTCCGTGAAGTTGTCAAGCATGAGTGTGTTGAGGAGGCTACCCTCTGCGACATTGACGAGGTATGCGTCTACCCACATCCGCAAGTTCTTTGGCTAAGGAGCTTCGCTAATCTGAGTAGGCTGTCATCCGCCTGTCCAAGCAATACCTTCCTGGAATGGCCGAGGGCTTCAAGCACCCCAAGGTGAAGGTGCATGTTGGCGACGGCTTCAAGTTCCTAGACGACTACAAGAACACATTCGATGTTATCATCACCGACTCTTCCGACCCGGAGGGACCGGCCGAGAGCCTGTTCCAGAAGCCCTACTTCAAGCTTCTCCACGACGCCCTCAGAGAGGGTGGCGTCATTACCACTCAAGGTTGTACGTTTCCTGTATCTTACAACCTAGGAAAAGTGTCAAGCGGGCATCCCCCTTGCCTGATCAGCTTGGACCCTTCCTGGGGACTACAACAGCGTGTTGCGTCTTCGACACGCGACAGTAGTCAATGGGGCTCTGTGTCGTTGAAGCGAATAGTTTCGCTTTTTTTCAACTTTATTTTGACATGTTACGGATAAGGACTGAACTGCTGACATGATGACTTTCTAGCCGAGAACCAATGGCTGCACCTGCCTCTGATCACCAAGCTGAAGAAGGACTGCAAGGAGATCTTCCCCGTGGCCGAGTACGCTTACACCACCATCCCGACGTATCCCTCCGGCCAGATTGGATTCATGGTCTGCACCAAGGATGCCAACCGCAACTTGAAGGTCCCGGTCAGGTCCTGGACTCCCGAGGAGGAGGAGAAGCTGTGCAGATACTACAACTCTGAGATCCACAAGGCTAGCTTCATTCTTCCGACTTTCGCTGCTAAGGCCTTGAAATAGGGTAGACAGCCAGCTTGGAGTGTAGGGAAATATCGCCAAAGAGCCAATTTGCGCTTAGATAAGGGCGTGCAATCCGCATCGTCGACCAGGAGAGGAGATCGGAAAACGATCATTCATTCGACTTGACGTCATAAAAAAAGGAAGGATGAAGGTATCAGGGTAGTCCTGAGTAAAGAGGGATTTAATGAAGCCTTGCAAAGGCGTCGACTTTTGAGACATGGGACATCTGCGCACCAAATCTGCGCTTACGACATAGACAAAATAAATGATTACGAAAGATCTTGCTTTGGTTGTACGGTGAATTATATATGTTGTGCAAACTACTGCGTTATCTCTTGCTGCTTGGAGTCACTGAGTTTTCCTCCTTCACTCACATCAGGATATACATCGAAACGCCTCTGATCCCTTAGCGGAATCCCCTTTCGAGCCTCCTCAATCTTGCTGCCATCTATCTCGTGAGAGACGATTGCCTCCTTCTCCTCGGCCTCTACAAGGACTTGCGCCATAGGGTCTACAATCAAACTGTGGCCGTAGGCATGATAGCTTGCGCTCATATCTCTCGCCGGGCTACACAAAGCCACATAGATTTGGTTGTCCATGGCTCTCGCCTGGCCTTGAAGCTTCCAGTGAAGTGGGCCCGTGGTGAGATTGAACGCGCCGGGGTATATCAAAGCAAAGCAACCTTTCCTCGCGGCAATCATGGCCAGCTCAGGGAATCTGATGTCGTAGCAGATAGCCACCGCGATCTTGCCGTACTCGGGAAGATCCACAATCGTCACCTTGTTTCCAGGGCTCAGTACATCCGACTCCTTGAACTTGATCTTCCCTGGGATATCAATGTCGAAGAGATGCACCTTCCGGTGCGTCGCCAGCAATGATCCATCGGGCCCGAATATCAGAGAAGTATTGTAATAATGCTTATCCTCTTTCTCTCCTTCTATCTCCAGCTCGGGGATCGACCCCGCCACCAGATATGTCTGGGTTTCCTTCGCCATTGCCGACAGCGCATGGAAGCTGGGGCTCTGCTCCTTGGAGGGCGGCGATGGCAGCAGGGGCTCGGCGTACGACGGGAAGTAGTCGCAGCCATACGGCGAGTTGAAGCACTCCGGCAGCACGATGATCTTTGCGCCGGAGCCAGCGGCCTCAAGCACCTTGTCGCGGGCATGCGACAAGTTGGCGCTCTTGTCGGCGCCGCTGGCGAGCTGGATGCATGCCAGCTTGACGGGCTTTTTCAGCAGAGGGCTGGAGGTCGGGGTCGCCATTGTTCGCAGTAGAGTCTGTCTTGCTACCTTTGCGGTGACGGATGGGCGCAGGCTGGTTGAGAATATTCGCAGCGTCTTCAATGCCGTCCTCATCGTTTGTCGCTGATCGGACAAATGTCCGAGTCTGATCGGGCAATTCGCACCTACATTATAGCGGACTTGGAGGGGCCGATAGCGACAAGCTGCTTCCGAGCTCGCAATATTTTGGTGGGGTCTTATCGGTGCAGGCCCGAAGGTGGGCGAACTGCGGGCACTATCAACCGGCACAGTGCACCGTAACCCCATGAGCTACCTGTACTGTACCCCCTGGTCACAGAGGGTAGCTTCAGGGAAGGCACGATGGTCGAAGCTGCCTACCTCACCTACCCAGAGCAAACTCTCACTAGCTAGGTAGGCAATGACAATCTCTCAGCATCCAAGATATGCAATGCAACTTCATCGCCCTCGGCCGGACATCGCAGCATCAAATCTAGGCAGTAGAAGGTTTACATTCTATTGTTTGTTCTGATATCAGAGGTTCTCCCTACCCCTTTATCGCCTTAAGGCACTTCAGATTGCAGGAGAACTAATAGCGTTGTCCGGACGTATTGAGAAAGTCCTCTTTTCGTGGCTTCAGCTGCATATATCAACTGCATACATCATCTCCTTTCTGTGACGCTATTTATTCAACCATGAACTGGACTGAGGGTAGTCTTGCTCGCCATTCTCGGGGCCGGAGCGCAAAGGAGACCCTCCTCCGCCAGAAGCAGCACTTCGCCAAAGTCCGTTCCGGTTTGTCGAACAGCAATGCCAAGATATCTCCTTCTAGTATCTCTTTTCTTGGTCGTATTTCCTCACCCCATTCATCCCAGCACTCAAGTGTTGGGCATGGTTCTGGATCTGGACCAGCGACAAAACGGCGCAAAATCAATCCTGCACCTGCGGACCCTGATGTCTCGATTTTAGGACTCGCAAGTCGTCACTTTAAATCGTCAGGGTTAAATCAGCTAGCTCGGCAAGAAGGACAAGCACTTGATGAGAGTCGAAAACGGCTTTTGCAGAAGAGCGATTGGGTTGGTATCGCAATTCAGAAACCCCTGGACTTGCAATTCCCAGTGGCAAGAATTACCTCAGGTCATCCATGGAGCCAACATGGCAGTCATGGTTCAACTTGGCGAAGTAGCGCTCGTCATATCATGGGATCTCAGTACGATCAGATGAAGAGTGACCACCGTGAAGGACGCCAACACACGAACGTTTCACCTATCCAGAACTTCAGGATCAGAGTCGGTAGTCGTGAAATCCGGTTGGGTACCAGCTCAAATACATCAAGTGAAAGGAGAATATCGTCTCGAACGAAAAAATCCAGCAGAAAGCGTGATCCTTCGAAGCGCCGAAGATTGCAACAAAGCCCGTCCTCTTGTAAATCCCCCACATCCTTCTTGAGCAAGGATGAGAAATTTCTAACGGCGTTCAGCATCCATTCGAAACGGCGAGTCTATCATATATCAGCCAGTTCCTCGCCGCCTTGATATTTCTCGCATCCTTAGAATTCGATCCGCCGACTCTGAAGCCGCTGAGAGTACCAGAGCCAATGTTGGGCACCCATCCTCTCCCATACCTCCATCTCAGATATGGGATAATGAAATGTGGAAGGATCGCATTGGCATGCGAGGAACCACCCACTCAACATCATCATATTCGTCAAAGAATGATGAGGAAGCAGCTCGCGATATCACACCTGGTGTCAGTGAGCTCGTCAACACTGTAGCGGCAGTGAATGAATCGAACGAAGAGACGACCACTTACGCCATGTCTTCGACAAAGAGTTCCTATTACAGCTCCACGAGTGGCACTCCCTTAATCCACAAAAAAAACGAAACGCCTTGCATCGAAAGATCCTCCTTGACGGACCTGAATGAGCTAGCGAGAACTGATGTGGATCACATCTATTCTATTCCATCATCTACCAGTAAATCCACGTCAAAATCTTCCTTGCCAAATCACCAATTGCCGTGCAGATGCAGTCATTCAAACGAGCATTCAAATACAGAAATATGCCCACCACTGGATGTGCCAGGTGGAATGTCGGCGGCTTCGAAGCAGCTGGACCAGATCACCCCCCTTCCAATTGCGGCCGATGGTAACGACCAACCTCCAACCAAAAATCTTGTCACGAGATCTAAAAATGTGAGAGATCTACCAGCTGAAAAGATTTCAAAGAGAGGAGTGAGCGGAGATCAAGGGTTGAATGAGTCTTTATCCGAAGACGAGAATGAGGTCTGGAGGAAGTTCGTATTCGGCTTGACTGACGACGATGTCGAGGACGCTGTTTTCGAAAATGCAAAGAAAGAGGCAGCACGGGAATTAAAGCCATCTGAGGCTTCGACAATTACACATGAGGATTCGCCCACAGGATGGGGTAGTAACATCGAGACTGTGGACACCAGTCTCACCGATGTGACCGAGCTTGTGACGGAGCAAAACATCCATACGAGCCAAGGTGCCACGTTAGATTCTGCATCGCTCCGTTCGGAATTGCCAGAACTGCCCGCTTTGAATAACATGTTTTCGAACTCAGCAAGTATTCTTTCTTCAGAGCAAAATGAGACTTATCCTACAATCCAATCGCCGACAGGAGAGATCAATGGACACTCCTCACTTAGCATGAGCTCTGAACCGAATTCGACTGCTGTTGAGCCAGCTCAGTCTTTACATCAGGGGGAGGCAAGCTTTCGCTTCGCCCCACCGAGAACTTTCATTGGGAAGCTGTCTGAGCACGGAGATTCAGCACTACAGCAGTTTACTGCCCGTGAGCCTCCAAGAAAGACTCGCAGAAGAACAAAATCGACGGGCAACTCCCGTGCCCGCAATGGTAGGACAGATATCAGGGCCTTACCTGACTATGCTGAGGATCCAATCGAAGAGTTTGACAATACTCAACCCAGTCGAAACCAGAAGTCGTCTCTATTCGGCCAGCTCGAGACCCAGTAAAGGACTATCATTCTCATTGGCTGCACTTAAATGCTCGAATTAGCTACTCTGGAATATGAGAGGACCTGCAACTTAGCTCAAATGTGAACAAGCGATGTTGCTCAATCTCGAAGTGAGATAATATATAGCAAACTCTAGGTTGCTTTGTAGCAGTGCTAAAATTCTTCATGTTTGCATCTGAGGGATGCGTTTTATCTTCTGCCCTAAATGTGAACCGTCAATCGATGATAGGTCATCATCTGTACGCACACTCAAAGCTATATACCAAGTGTTCAAAGCAATCAATTCCATTACTCCGGGGTATCATGCCAGTCCAAAGTCTATCATAGCTCATCCGTCTCCTCATCTTCGGTATCATACAAGAAGATCGACGTCCTTTTCTCAGAACCAGTGATTTTAGTCTCTTCCTGCTTCACAACGCCCGGCATCAAGTCTTCATCTTCCTTCTTGATACACTCCTCCTTGATATTCTGGCCATCAGATACGATGGAAGTATCCTTCCTATCTTCCTGCTGGCTTCTGGGCGAACCAATGTTATGCTTCGGCTGGTCTGCTCCATCTTCCATTTTAACATCCTCATCTTTTACCGGGACACCATCTTCGTCTTCCTCGTCGTCAGCTTCTTCTTTTTGGAGAGCCTTTAGATCCTCCAGGTCCTTTTCTAGGAGCTTGATCTCTCGTCTCTTGTAGAAAGTGTTAAGACAATTCCTCCGTTGCTCCTGCGTCCAGCTCTCAACGACCAACGCAAAATCTGTGGCATTTTGGAAGCCAAACTCCCGAGCCATAGAGCAAAATTGTCTCTTCATGACATCTATGGGCGGGTTATACGCATAACGAATCCCTTGCAGGCCTTCTGACTGGACTACATTCGCTTGACTATCCGCGAACAGGGCCGATTGTCCTTCAATGGTCGACTCGTCATCTGCAGCTAGCTCGGCGCGCCGTGACAGCTGCTCTTCCACCTTGCTGGAACCGACGACTTCAGAGTTCTCGTGGGTATACTCGACGCCAGCAGACGATAGAATCGCCTGGATAGCGTCACTCTTAGGTTTATTGGCTTTCTTTGCATCGGCCGCGGCCTCCTGATTCTCATGTGATAACAGCTCAGCCAACTGGCTCAAACCACCATCTTCTCCGTTGCTATTCTCTTCCTGTTTCAAAAAGCCAAGGTCACCGTCCTCTTCCATCTTCTCTATGTCGATATCCGAGAGGTGGACCCCTGCTTTGGCCTCGGCGATGTTTGTCTTATTGACAATTTCGCGAAGGACGACATGGTCAGAATGAAAACTCAGCAGGTTATTGAGCCCAAAAATTTCGCCCTTGCGATCCTTGTCTTGTTGTACGCCTTTAAAATAGCGGCGTTCGGTCGAAGCAGTGTAGCCAATGTTGGCCTGCTGCTGTTTGTAGATCTGGCGTGCGTAGACGATCTCTTCGATTGTGCCAGCTGAGACTAGTCGAAACACATCGACATCGCGAGTCTGACCGATTCTGTAAGCTCGATCTTGAGCTTGTAGGTCATACGACGGATTCCAGTGTGGATCAAAGATGACCACCTTGTTAGCCGAAGTTATGTTGAGCCCAGTACCTCCAGCCTTGGTTGAGATGAGGAAGACAAATTGATTGGGGTCCGAGTTGAAGTCGTCTACTGCGAGTTGGCGGTCCACATAGCTCATGGAACCATCCAAGTAACTTACAGAATAGCTGGTATGATGGAAGAGGTGCTGAAGAATCCGCAATAATCGTACACTGTGTGAGAATACAAGGACCTTGTCTCCGTTCTCATGCCAGAACCGCAGTAGTTTCCGAAGAATTTTCCACTTTCCGCAAAACTCGGGGTTAGCGAGGTTTACCAGGGAATCTCGATTCTTGTAGAGCTCTTCCCAGCCGTCTGGCACGCATGTCTGTAGAGTGTTCAACTCGGACTTCTGCTTCTCCATGGGTTCGCCGGAGGAAGGAATCAGGAGTGTGAGATGGTTCGAGAGCTTGAGCAAGGTTTGCATTGTTGGAAAAACGATGGAGATCCATGGCTTTCCGTTGGGCAGATACTTTTCACAGCACCATCCTTGCTTCTTTCCCGATCCACATGGGCAATCTTCGCTCACTTCGCGCAGCAGACGCACGGAATAACTGTCCAGAAAGTTCTCATATGCACTGCTTTGTTGGTCCGTTAATGGACAGAAGACGACCTTGTCACTCTTCTTTGGCAGCTGATGAGCTATCAAACTCTTCATTCGCCGCAGAAAGAATTCGGGAAGAAGGTTTTGGACAAGTTTCTTCGCAGTCTTCCTCGCAAGGCTAAGTTGATAGCGCGTGGCATCGTGAGCTTGACCAATTGCCAAGGGTTTGCTGATACTCTCCCTCCACTCGCTGATGGATCCAAAGTGACCAGGATTGGTCCAATTTAAAAGCGTCCAAAGCTCTTCGTAATTGTTTTGTATGGCCGTTCCCGTAAGACCAATTCTACAAAGGGAATTGACATCGTTCATCGCGCGCGTAATCTCAGAACCCCGGAACTTCAGACAATGACACTCGTCAGCCACGACTGCGTCCCACTGAACCATATTGATCTCGCCCTTGTTCAACCTGTACGTCCCATAGGTGGTAATCATAACCTCGAGTCGTCCTGATCGAGCAGCATGCAAGGTCTCATCCTTGTTTGAGCCGTGATAAGCATCGACCTGCCACCAACCCCAACGATTCAGCTCGTTCTTCCAATTTTCGATTAGTGTACCAGGGCAAACGATCAATATCCTAGGATACCAATGAGTGCCCATACGTCTCATTTTCCTCATCCTCTTAGCATCCCTCTCGTCGCCAGACTTGCCGAATGCCGCTGTCAAGAAAGCGGCCACCTGGACAGTCTTGCCGAGACCCATGTCATCTCCGAGCACACAGCCCCTTTGGTAGACAAATTTTTCGTGTAGGAACTTGACGCCATCAATCTGATAGTCTCTGAGGTACTGTGCGATCGATGCGGGAATAAGGCCAGCAGAGTATTCAAGCTCAATGTCTTTGTACGCACGACATGGCTTGATCCCGCTGGATGCTTCAAATACAGGTCTCTCTCGTAGATTGGATATGCGCTCGTCGTCGGAGAACTCGACATCGCCATAGTCGGGGGGCAGTCGTAGACCTGCCTCGCGCAGTACCTGTCTGTTCTCGTCAAACTTCCTACGTCTCTCACGAAGATAGTCAGGTACGGCGGCGTCGGCGAGGTCATCGTGTGCGCTAGATTCGTCGAGGTCCTTAACCCTGTCGATGGTATCATCGCGCCTCTTCTTGGCTTTCGTCTTTTCTCCGCCGTTGTTCTTCCTGCTCTTGCGCGTAGTCTTGCGCCGAGCTTTTAGCTGTTCATAGGCTTCGTCTGAGTCGCTCCACTCGAACTTCTCCTCAACCTCCGGAGGTGCCTTCCGCTTGCCGAGTGCTTTGCTACTTTTGATCGTGTGGCCTTGGCCTGCTGACGAATCCGAGCCTTCGGTGTCGAATATATGAATGACGTTCTTCGCGATGTAGCGCGAAGCCGCCATTGTCAACGGCTTTGTCGCATAGTTGGTGGGGGTGGAGTGCAAGACGCGTCGCGACAGCATTGAGCTCTGCAAGTTGTATAGAGAGGGGTGATGGGACGCTAAGGCAGGCACGTTAAGCAGCACTTCTAGTTTGCCACTCGACCTTACCTCCACATTGCAAACTACATGATTTGTCTTGGGTAGGCATCTAACAATCGCTGTTTAGACGGTAACATCACAGTAATAAATAGACAAGATTGTGCCGAAAAGACGTAGCAAGGCCAGTGTAAATTCAACCTTTTTTAGTTCTACTTCTTAAACCAAGGATTGAGGTAATAAGCACAGTCTAAAGATGAGAGTTGGTAAGACGTTGTCAGGCGCCTTCAAAAATACAAGCAACCAAAGATTGTGCTAAGACCAACTCGCTGTTGTTGCTATCTGATCAAATAGTAAGCACATCTCTTGGGTCTTTTTGCAACTCTTTATCTTTGCATCAGTCCAGTCAGGTCAATAAATAAAGGTAACTCACTTACACATACCTATCCTTGCATTTCAACAGCATGTGACATTCAAGATCGCAATAGGCTACCCGCCCACCCCCGCAACCCTCCCCGCAATGGCGGGTTCCGTACTTGGACAGTTGGAGCTCGGCAGCGTCTCCCACTGGCAGTTAGGGGCGGCCACATTCCGCTTTTTATGCCATTTATGGGGTCGTCGCGGACAGATACCTCGGCTCACTCGTAAACATGCTCCAATCTGATCTAAGCTACTCACAATGTCAGACCTCGTTCTATCATGATTTTATTACTTCCATATTTTCCTTTGAATATCATGTAGGTTTTGATATCTTTGCCATCTGTAAACGCCAACTTTCACATGCTCTCTGAACCCCAACGTTACGATGAACAAAGCGACTGCGAATACGGGGTTCTTTCAGCAACAGCCTGTACTGAAGAACCAGTTTTACGACGATGTCAGCTATCAAAGAGTCTTGAAACGTGTGCTAGACCCGGAAATCCTCTTCTCGGCACTCTTGATCCTATCAGCTGACATACTTAGTCTTCCTACCCTCTACTGTCGTCAGGGACATCGAGCCCGAGGTTGCCGCGTTAGGAGAAGAGGTCCTGTCACAGCGAATTCTAGACTACGTAACAGACGCAGAGAAGAACCTTCCATATTTACGCGGCAGCGGCCGCGACTCGTTTGCCAAAAGGACAAGCGACTCACTAGTAGTCACCGAGGGCTGGAGAGAGCTCCAAAACTTCGGCATCGAAAAGGGGATCGTTGCCTGCAACTATGATAGAGACATTGCACAGTTCACGCGGATAGTTCAGTTCTTGAGGCTACATCTCTGGGAGTCGTCCGCTGCAAACACACCGTGCCCCGTGGCTATGACAGATGGGGCTGCCCGACTCCTCCAGACGCATCTCGCCAAGAACGATCTGGATCCCATCCAGCGTGATGTCCTCCAGAAAGCCTTCGACCGTCTCATATCTCGGGATCCGAAGCGGGCGTGGACAAGTGGTCAATGGATGACTGAGCGCCCAGGAGGGAGCGATGTTTCACTGACCGAGACTGTCGCCACATATGCACCCTATCCCAACCAGACAAATGCTTCAGCACTTGCAGACGTTGAAGAAAAGGTCCCGCTTGGGCCTTGGAGTATCGACGGATTCAAGTTTTTCTCGAGCGCTACTGACTCCTCGATGACCATCTTGCTGGCCAAGACTGGGCCTGGCAAAGGTGTGAGCGCCTTCTTCGCTCCCATGAGGCGATATAACCCTGATCTGGTATCTGTTACTGGGAACGCCGGCGGCGTAGAGCTAAATGGAGTTCATATTCAACGGCTGAAGGACAAATTTGGAACCAAATCGCTTCCAACAGCGGAGCTTGAGTTGTCAGGGATGCGTGGGTGGAAGATAGGAGAAGAGGGTAAGGGCATCCACGAGATCAGCACAATTCTGAACATCACACGAGCCCACTCTACGATAGCAGCAATGGGGTATCTTGGGCGTGGACTCGCAGTTGCTAGGGCGTACGCTCTGGTTCGAGAAGTCGGTGCTGGGAAGGGAAAGCGCATCCCGTTGTGCAAGAGCCCCTTACACATGAGAACATTGGCCAACATGACTTCCGAGTATCATGCTCTGATGCTCTTGACGTTCTTCACTATCTACGTAATGGGCATAGACGAAACAGTCAATGACGGACGAAAGACACAAACTCCGTCCACAGATGCCCTCAAAACCTTCACTCCGCCCCCTGAGTACGTGGCTCCCCTCTTGAGAGTACTCAGCTCTCTTCACAAGGCGTATTGCTGTAAGCAGTCTGTACCATTGATGTACGCATGTATGGAATCTCTAGGAGGAGTCGGATACCTCAACAACTCCGAGTCTGAGCATTTGAATCTCAGCCGTCTCTTCCGAGACTTATGCGTTCTTTCGATCTGGGAAGGGACGACAGACGTTCTAAGCACTGACACCTTACGCGCTCTAAAGCACCCAAGCACGGGCAAGCAGAGCCTCGACGCAGTGGACTGGTTTGTGTCCAGCACATTGGGGGCAAACACTCTATGGGGGAGCCAGAACTCCGCTGCCCTCGACACCTGGAAGACATTGAAGACTAGATTGGAGACAGACTCGCCGGCAAGCCTAGCGGCGGACGCAAGGGATATCACCTTTCGTATTGCTGAGGTGCTCATAGCTGCACTGTTGTCAGTTGATGCACGAAGTGATGGCAATGAATCTGCTGCTGAGATGGGCCGACGCTTCATGGAGAGAGTAGGCTTCTCGACTAATGGGAAACTATCTAACCCTTCGAATAGTCTTACTACAGATTCGGCCATTGTTTATGGAAATCAGGGTGGCAGTTCGTCAAATGCCAACTCAAAGTTGTAATGACAGTCTCATCGCTTCACGACTACCAACTAGTCTACATTTGATTGAAAAGAGTCAAAACTGTACCAGCTCTCGAGCATGGAGCCAATGGGTCAAAACCGGGCAATTTTTGTTGACAAGACTAAGTGACCATCTTACATCGGAAAGATTCGCAAGTTTGCAAAGGAAAGGGGCATGGAATGCAAACTCTTTTGATATGAGAACTCAGAAATTACTACACTTGCTGCTGGTGCCAAGGTCTAAGCTACGACCTCCTCATGAGCCTCTCTGCACCGACTTGATTCCAGCTGTGAACACAAGCCGAAGCCGAATTGACTTGCAATTCGTTTGAAGAGCTTGGTTGAGGGTTGCAACGTTGACTCCAGCCCAAAACTCGTGTCCTATATGAAGTCCTGTTATAGATCAACAAGACGGGTAGCTTATCAGAGTAATCAATAATTATGTCTTGAGCAACCCCCCTCGCCTAGTGGAGCATGCCAATATCAGCCCGCGCAGCTAGATAATATCACCAAACAATATCGATCGTTATAGCTGAACTAGCAAGGATTTGCAAGAGCCGCGGACACGATATGATCGACCTCACATAACCGAGCACACGACATCATTGACGGCCTGCCAGTCGACAGACTTAAGGTGACGCTCGCAGATCTCCTGATAGCAAGGCGGAGAATTTGCGGGTAATCCGCAGTGGCGGGTGGCTCGCATAATATCGACATCAACGCATGAATCTAGTCAGGTCTTCCAAGGCAATCCAGATCAAGGCTGGTGGTGAAGATCGCCGTCTTCTCAGGGAAGTCGGGCACCACCGTCGTGGTCGGAGAAATATGTCAGACCACCGGCACCCCGACGATGATGGAAGGTCAAAGAGCTTGCATGCGGCTCAGCATTTGTCCTGGGTTGGGTGGGCGTAGCAGCCCACCCTGGCTCCCAGACAGCGATGCGTTCATTGTGTATGATGTGCCGCAGGCGCGCGCGATAATGAACGCAAAGAAGAGCGAATCCTTGACCTGCCCTGTTCGGAGAATTTGCAGCACCCCTCGCCGATCAGCAGTTATGACATCAATCCTCAAACGCTGGCGCATCTCGTGTTCGAGCTCGACGTTCGTCCATGACCACCGTGCCAAGACGGCTTGGACCGACCCGTTCTCGAAAACCAGCAAGATGGGCTTCTCATCGAACCTCACCATCATCAACTAGGAAGGCACCACGACAATGCGCGAAGACACCATCGTTTGGGCGACGTGGCGAAAAAGCACAGAACGCTCTCGAGTTGCGATTGCAGCATCCAATGCAATGGACAAGGGTCCTGAGACGGCATGAACTTAGGACGTCACGGCTCTGATAACACGTGGGACGGATATTTTCTCCGCCCCCTGGTTGCCGCACGGGCCGTGGGCGAGGCATCGGTTGTTCCACAGCATCTGCAGCACACAGGCGAATCGGGGAGGGCGCCGTGGTACGACAATCGCAAGGAAAAAGCGATTGTGCATCAAGGACTCCCACGCTTAGGAGCCCTAAGCGATCTTGTTCATAGGCGAAGACGATAGCTGTAGCACTATCTCGTAGATCTCAGAGTCATGGGAGTCGATGCATTGACGAGGTCACGCAATGAAGAAAACAGCACAGGGCAGGATCGACAGATATTTCCATAATGATCATATTGGATTCCGCAATGCGGGATGATTTGCCAGTTATTGTAATAGTTGTACATGGATGGGCCTAGTCTTGCTCCATCTTGGGGATATCAAAGCGTCGAGTGAACGACATTTTACAAGCTCTTGTAGCAGTTGGTACTGGTACCAGTTCGATACACACCAAGAAAGACCAAAAAGCAAAGCTTGCTTTTTCCTGCAAGACCTTCCTATCTGGAGTCGATCGCGAAAAGCAGATCGTTGCTCCCTCATTCCCCAATCTGCAGGTGCTGGTGCCTTTCCCTTTCCCTCGGCCGGATATGGAGCTCTCCCTTCCTCCTTTTTTGGAGCTTGTTCAATGGTTGAGCCGCCTTACTCGTGGCCTTGTACCCCTGCCGCACCTTGTTTCAGCCACCATACAGCTTTGTTTGCCACCTCTTCGTATTGTTGCATGCAATTTGCTAAAGGCCGTTAAGGAAAACAAAAAAGAAAATAAAAGATATGATAAACTCCCTGTTAATGCAGATAATTTGAAGGAAGGATAAATCGCCTTTAGGTAATACACAATGCTGATCCGATCTTCCTCGAAGGAAGCTGATGCATGAAGAACTGATAGTTAAGGAAAAGATAGCAGATAATAAAGACAGTAAATAAAAAATGTTGAGATGACAATGTGCTTTTCGGCCGTTATTTTGTCGTGAAGTTCTGAGGCTCATCTATGAGGCCGTTTCAGATGGTAAGTCATGGTAGTGAAAAGCAAAGCGCTGGGGTTGTAAAACAATCTATCGAGGTATGAAAACAGATGAAGAAACAAGAGATGTAAATGCACGAGTCTAGCAGTGCGTCATGTAAAAGGTCAGTTTGTGAACGTTGTTCGAGGGAGCGACGAGAATGGGTATCACGTGAATGCAAAAAAAGATGAATGCTCTTGAAGGATTGTATGCGGGTCGGCCGTGGCATCTTTGAGAATGAACGTAGATCATGAGATCGTGTAAGCGCGAAAAGAAAGTAGTGGGAAATTACGTTCCCTATGTGAGAACTGATTGTTTATCAGAGGAGCCAGTTTACATGGCCAGCACAGATTTCTCTGGGCGGAAGACGGCATTGGTGAGAAGGACCTCGCCGTCGTCTTGCTTCATCTCCTTGACAGGAGTACCAGATCGCGGTGTTGAAACAGCAGCTGCTTTGGCATTGGGAGTGTTGTTGTTGCTTGCCATAGCAGCACTGTTGAGCAATTCGTGACTACGAGCTCGGTGAAGTTGCCTTCGCTCCTCATCGGAAAGATTTGGGTCTTTGGGAGCTGACGCTTCACCACCGCTCATCTTGGTAATTTCGTTTTCGACATCAGCAAGCAGAGCGTAGACATCGTCGCCAGCATAGATACGGATGCTCTCCACATCAGCACGGCGGATAGCTGCGATCGCTTCTGCGTCCTTGGTCTCATTGGGGCTCCCAAAGCCGATGGCAGCAGCTTCCTCCACAAGGGGCTGCTCCAGAATGGTGGAGGGTACGTGAGCGACAACTCGTTGAGGTGAAGGAGAGCTTGATTGAGTATGAGAGAAAGAGACAGACTTGGTAGGTGACCGGGGAGGTGTTGAGATCTCGTGCATGCTAGCGGGATTGATACCCATAGCGAGCTGTAGACTTTCGCTAACATTCACGACACCGCTTGTTGGGAGAATAACAGCGGCAGCAACGTGCTCAAGGAGCTTTTGACGAACCCGAGTGCGGCGGTTCTCGGCTTGATCAAGTTTCGTAACCCAATCATCGATGGAAGAGTCAAGCTCTGCAAGCGCTTCCTCCTGCTTAAGCATTGACTCCGTGCTAAACTTGGCCGTACGAGGCGACCGAAGGTAAGTACAGATCCTCGAGTGAAGGTTGCGGCGACCGGCCCTGAGAGACTGGTAGGTACGGCGCAGGTACTCGGTGCGCTCATCGAGATGTCTCAGCTCCTAGACACCGTTAGCCAGAATCATGCTCAGTATCAAGATTAACTCACTCTTGAGAGGTTATCGACATCGTCCTTGCGAAGAACCTCAAATCGCGCGGCTTGTTGTAGTGCTTGTCTCTGTAGAGCGGCTGCTTCCGTCTGGTTCAACATATTCGTGGCATCGCTCGCTTTCCAACCCTTTGGCAGACTTTCAAAAGCCCGGCGTTCCGCACTCTTACTCCTCTTCGATGCCGCTCGCTTGAGACCCGGCACTGCACCAACCACTTCACCTCTCTTTCTGGGTCTGCCTCGCTCCATGATGCTTCCAGATTCTGACTGGCCTCTTCTGTGGCCCATGAGAACCGGAGTGCTGCGTGGCTCGTTCTCAGCCTTAGGTGTCGACATCGGGTCGGCAACCTGCTCCTTGGGTGTAGTAACATGATTCGTGTCGCCCCACGGCTTGGGAGAATAGGATCGTGACTCGATCGGGGCAGAGACTGGAGTAGGTAGCGTGGAGTTGGTAGAAGCTGTCACCGCTGTGGTAGCGGATTTTGGCGTAGTAAGTGCGGTAGAGGCAGACATCGGCGTATATGGAGTCCTGGTCTTTGGAGACTCATCCGTACGCGCGGATCGTACAGATGATTCTACAGGCGTACTTCCTGATCGAAGGCGGCTTAGTGAAAGCTGTCTTGTTAGTCTAGGAACAGCCGACATCTGGCTAGGGATGACTAGTGGAGCTAGGTTCTTCGGGGACAGAGGCTGGCGAGTGGTAACCATGGACTTCTGTACTTCGGCGGGAGTGTTTGACACGGGGCTGTTCTCGTTCTCGTCCTCATCAGCAATGGCTGGAGCTGTCATGCACTCGGCGAGGTGGTGCGGTCTCCAGCTATTGCCAGGAGCGCTTATAGACCTCTCGTGCAGTGGCGGTCGGCCAGGAATAGTAGCTTGTAGAAGTCAGTAACTCGAGCGTATATAATGCTGCTCGATCCACTCACGAGAGTCCATTGGAACCTCCTGTACTGTAGTCATAGGACCCAGCTCTGGCACGCTCACTTTCCTCCTTCGGATGAGGTTATGCTCCTTGATTCTCAGTCTCAGTCCGTTGCCAGCAGGTGGCTTGTCCGTCTTGTCTCCATTCTGACCCATCGCCAGCGCGAAGGCCTGCTCCGGATCGAGCTGCTTCCCAGGAGCAGAGTTGATCTGCTTGTCCTTGGGGAAGAGCTGGTACTTCCTTGTCTCTGGCTGATGCATCCTCCAGACGAAGGGCTTGTCAGCAGCAGAGGAGGGTCTCTCTATCTGCTCCGTGACGACGTCGTGTAAGCTTTGGCCAACGGTAATCCACGGTAAGGTGCCGAGAAAAGTTAAAGTGTTTTGCATCACTTACCGGATCATTAGATGAGGGCGCTGGGGAAGCCGGCTTAACTATATATTCCTTAAGGCTCGACGGGTCACCATCGGTATCTAGCATGCAGCTGATAATGTGAGCCATTGGTCAAGGGCAGGGTTATCAGGTGTCAGAGCTAGATGGACCCAGAGAAGGGAAACTTGATGCAGCGGCGGGCTAGGAAAGAATCTTAGGACGGCAATGATATAGGCCAGTTCCTTGTTGATAGGCTCAAGAGTGCGTGTGGTGAGGCGGTTCTGTATTATAAGTCTTTTATGTATGTCTCTCTCTACCACCAAGTTGCTGCATGACCCGCTCCGGGAGTGGCAGACTATATGCAGGCACGTCTGTAATATGGACCAGGGAAGCTATGTCTCACGGCAAGCGAGGCGAGGGGTGGAGAGGAGCCAGCAAGGGAAGCAGGATATTGAAGAGGAGGAGCAACCAGAGGTTCGCATGTCAGCAGCCTGTCCCCATATTATTACTTTATGTCAATCCTTTCCCAAGGACCGTGACTGAGGCTGTCCCTTGCCTCTCGACCCTCTTTAGCACTGGCACAGTAGCTTTGGGCACCCGGTGGGTGCATGGGGTGTCTGTGTGTTGAGGGTCGAGGTCTGGTGTACTCCCTCGATGTACAGGCTCAAGAGTGTACTCTACATCCTCTTGAGGACTAGTCCATGCAGGAGCGCCCCGGACAACCTCGTACAGGCAGGCAGGTAGACAGACAGACCATGCTGCTTGCCTTCAGCAATCTGGTGGCCAGCAGGGCAGGAGGCGGCGATCTGAGACAGGCCATCGCTTGATCTCGAAGGTATCTGCACCGAGATTGACGGGTCTCGCAGGTACATGGGTCTGAGTGTCCGGCTGGCCGAGAAGCGAAGTATCTCGAAGCAGCCAGGGGCCTGGGACACGAGACAGGAAGAGGGAACGGGAAGGACGAGGGAGACACGAGAGAGCGGAGCGCAATGTCCAGTTTCGACTGGCGAGAAACATGAGTCTCACAGCACAGTCCACCCAGAGTCCAACAATGTGAAACCGCTTAAGTCCTCCTGTACGCCGAACGACGCACTACTGCAGCCAGGGGGCTTTAAGCGTTTGCCCCACTCCCGCAGGGATGCGCCGGTGCGGCGCGGCAGGGGTCCCGGCCTCGATGCATGTCAATATCTGACCTCTGTTAAGTACGTTTCTCTCCTTTTTTTCCTGCTCCAGTGTACCCGACTTCTGGTCGTGGTGGATGCCTTCCTCTTCCAAGACTAATGGCTTCCGCTTGGCTAAATGAAGGGTCTCCTGATAGACTGGTACACCTGGGGTGCAGCGGAAGGTGCAGTGCAGAACGCGGAATTGCTGCAAGTGTTCAGAGATGCCGCTGCGAGGCATGAAGGAGAGGCATGTGTAGATGACTCTGACTAGTGTACCTCAAGGACGGAAGCACAAGTCATGAAGTCAAGTGGCTCCGTTAAGAACGGCAGGAGATAGATGAGGTGACACTTTTGAGGTTGTATAAGCCGTCTCGTAAGACCTTGAATTCTTGAGAGGCTTCGGAGCTTTTCGCCTACATGCTCAATGGTGCTTATGAGTGCTACGGAGGTTGTCGACGCGAAGTCAACTTGATGCGACAGCGCTGTTTTCAAGACCCATCCCCCTCGGTCCTCGTTCATGTGTTTTGCTAGAGGCTGTAGCAACACTTGCAAGACGTGGCATATGTGTCTGTTCGGTCACAATTTGAACGTATTTGTGATGAGTTTTGAACATTGAATGAAACTGATATATGATTCACGGACCACTTCATGTTACGTGAGTGAGTGAACAAAGAAAGACTTCAATTTCAAGTTTGGTTCTATTAATTGCGATCCCACCATGTCAACTTACAAACTTACACCTACTGCAACTTATTATATATTTCTAGAGTCTAATTGAGCCATAGCACACAAATCGAAGATCACCCTAAAATTGGCTCTCTGGAAAATCCTCTGTTGGCTAATACAACTTCATCCGGCGACAAATCGTACTTGAGTGTACCGTTAACAGCTCCCATTTAGCTGTAGCAGTGGATGAAGCCCCTCGTAATGGATTGTGATCTCTGGGATAAAAGTCTCAATTGAGGCGGGGTAATTTGATAAAGATGCCGGCCATTCGAGACATTCAGAATGCAGGTTGAAGGGTCCGTCCGAGCGGGATCTCAACCACAACCGCCTCATCCTCCGAACTCTTAACAATACGCCGACTGCAAAAAAAACCACACAAAGCATGGGGTGAGGTATGAGCACTGAGGAGAACAAATGTGGGTGATTGTGAGCCCATTACAACCACTACCTGAGACCTCTTGACCCATTTCTTTGCGTGCATTTTCATCCTGTCTCCTGTCAACACGGCGATGCCGGCAGAAGGCCCGCTTGAAACGCACGGCCCCCAGTGCGATTGCATGAATGATCTTTACAAGGTGATGTCTTCTAGGCAGGCTCTTTCAGCATCATAAGGGATTTCTGTGCCACCTCTGTGGCGAAAATGACGACTGTACATACAATGCCACGGTGAGGAACGTGAAGCATATTCCATCACTGCCTATTCTCGGTGTGGTGAGGTCTCGGGAACTGAACAACCATTCAAGGTTGAACAAGGCACATTCGATGGTCTTACAGAAGCCGTGTCGAGTTTACCCACAAAGGAATATTGGAGTTGCGATTGCGCAGGTGGTAGCAGCGTTAAAGCGGCTTCCCGTCCTGACGTGACTGGTCCTTTGGCCGGGGCATCCATGAAGCGCATGATACTGGGGCATCTTGTACAGAACCCTTGATAGCATGGCAAACCATATCATAGAGGTGATCATTGAATCGACAATCTGGACTATCACTCTTTGGGTAGTCATCGACCTCAAACCCTGACCTTATTCAAGGCGATCAAGCGGTGCCCACCTTGACATCCCGCGGAGAGCGAGCTTCAGTAATCTTGCCCTGAATCTCGCCTTGTCTCTCTGCCTGCTTAGGGTCTGGACTGGCTGGGGCTCAGCGACCATACACAATCCCTCCACGATTTGATCCTCTCGCCGAGGCGAGATGGAAAGGTGGAAGCGGGCAGTGGGACCATGCTCAAATTGTCAATATCGCCGCGGCAAGGTCAGTGCGCGCGTACCGGCTAAATCGCGCTGAGGTTTTCTGAAAAGCCTCGTATGCAGCTACACTACGGCGGTGCTCAAAGAAGTAAGGCGTCATACAGTGAGACTGTAAACTCTACTGCGGATGAGGAAGAGGATAAAAGAAACAAAATCGTCAGTGCGGAAGTATGGTCACCCTTGCACAAGCTTCATCTCGATTACAATTATTAGCTTGATTTAGATATCGTGGTACTGACCGCCTGATAGCCCGTTGGCGGCATATCATATAGTACAGTTTCGCGCTATTCTAAGCTGGTCTCATCAAGTTGAGACTGCAGAAAAGCTGGATTAAGAAGGCTGCTCGAGAAGGGCTCCAAGTCTGACACAATCCAGCAACGTGGGAAATGGCCGAAATGATCACCATTCGGCCGGGTACACTGTGGGGATCCTCCCACGCGTCCCTTGTCAAACCACCAGGGCCCATGACCGGAATGTTCGCCGGTGCGTCTGGGCAGGCCTAATCCCAGCAAAATCGGGGCGATGAAAGCAGAGTTCCCTCACCTAGAATCCTCCTCGCCAGTGCCGACGCAGTTTCCTTGCCAAAATTGCAGCTCGGTTATGGCTCTGCCAGCCATCTAAATTCTCAAACAAACTAATCAAGGGCATACTTCCCGGTCACCAAGCTTATCTGGATACCTAACCCTCACTATCTTGAAGCTCGTCCAGAGTCTAGGAAGTCCCCGGGACATTGATGCTTGTTGGCAGGAATACAGTGATACAGTGGTTCCACAGTTGATCGGCATTCGCAGCCAGGTTGACAGCCTGCCCGACGTTCCAGCGTAACAATATCATCTTGACGGCTTTGACGTCTCTAACTGCCGGGTAGATGTCACTCGAGCAAGAGTTATGGAGAGCCTTGAAGCGATCTTGGATGTTAGCGTGACTGAAGTTCTAAGAATACCACTTCAGTGTCATATGCTGGATACTGAGTGACATGTTGGCAAGAAACTCATCCATTTAGACAGCACGGCATTTTATTTTGGTATTTCAGTCCGGCCCCGTCTTGTTTCTGAGAATTGGTTTATTTTTGGGCAACATTAGCCTACGGAAAATTCATCTGATGTTAGTGAAAGTGGAGGAAACTAGAGAACATTGTACATGAGAAAATGTTCCGTACGCCAATGCAATGTAGTCTCTCGTGCATCTGTAGGGGCTCTACTTGGAACTTGAACAGTGCCACAGAGCTTGATTTCAGCAGCCGACTAACCCCCTTTTCACCAGCTTCTTGCTCAAACTTAAGATATCGCTCAGACCAAAACGCACGGCGATCAATCGAGGGTGTCTACCAGGTTATGGTAACCTCATGTTGCTTTTATTGAATACTGCAGCTAAGCCCCCACCTCATGGCGACAACAGCGTTGCAGTTGACACCAGCTAGCGTTATCTCCAAACCACATCCGGCGCTCTCGCAAGAGTGGTTCACTCTTGTGCCTTCATGAGCAACAACGGTGCAGTTTGGTGGGCCAGGAGAGATCTCACCGCAACTTCCCTTGCCGTTGTGATATACCGATGATTTAAGGTAGTTGACAGGAGGAGATCGCATAGGGCGGTTGCAACGCTGGGGGCTGTCAATATCACCCTTCGCTTACAGATGATGGCACTCACCTGGTTGCTTCTCAACACAACTCTGTCTCAGATTAAAGTGAAACTAAGATATGCTTGATGACGTCCAGACGACTCTATCACAAGATCAAATCACAAAGCACGTTGACCAATCCCTAGAAACATTTAGATTGCTTCAACTCCTGAATACACGTACGCAATCAGTTGCAAGGAGAGTCTCGAACACCCCCAGATCCTGGTAATCTCAACGTCTGGTAGCGAGATGATAAACGCCCGAGAACAGCCCCGGGGAAACAAGCTTCATTCTTTTGCTGATAGAGGATCATGATCAAGTATCTGCTTCGATCAGTGAGGTTCTCATGGGCCACGCTCAGATTAGCTTTCCAATGCACAGGGCACTTGAGCAGTGGAGTTAGGCGGTGATCTAATGCCAGAGAAGGGAACTCGAGGAGCACGGGGCGCTACACTAACTAATGACGCCCGGACGGGCAGGCTCGTTGCATAATTAATGACATGCATTGTACATGCACCGTACGGGCCTCATATTCCACAGTTTAGAATACCTTAATTTCAACATATCCACACATGATTCTTCTTTGGCATCTACACCAGCACTTTTCGAGACCGCTTTGATAGATTCTTGAGCAGTTGCTCCTGTATACTGCGCTACCCACAACCCCGCCTCCCCTCCATCACGGAAGGGCGAGGGGTAGATCTTTCAACCATCTTTGAAAAGCCGCGATCTCCCCGACGACCCTCAGGGGTTTAGGCTATATTTTATGGAATATGACAGGGACCCTTGTACTTCCAGGAGCTCCCCGGCTGTCCCGTACCCTGTCGAAAGCTCTTGAAGCTTGGCCACAAGAATCTATTGGCTCAGCCGCTGAAACCAGGCACAAGGCCGGGAAGCTTCCCCAAGCTTCTTCTGTTTAAACGAAACGACGAGTCGGTCCCAACAGTCAAATGCATCGTGGCCCCCAATGCAGCTAAAAAAAAATCTGATACGGAGTACTGGGAATTGACAGAGTAGAGAGTAGACACAGGAAGCTTGACATCATCACAAGCAGTCTAGACCTTTCAATAGACAGCTAGTACGTCCACAGAGTTAAGTAGCGTTTAGAGCCTCTGGACCACGGAATACACAGATGGCTAGTCCTGAGCACACAATATCTCGAGACAAAAGGATGCGGGGAAGAGAGCGAGCATCCCCAACGGCATCCAAGTTCCGCATTGAAATCCTTGATTGGTCAATTCAGGCATGGGTTGGGTTGCTTTTGTAAAAATACCCTTATTCCCTCTACCGCCCACCCGCCTAATGAAGCGTCCGTGGTGTCCTAGCAATCACCAGCCCGTAGATCGCTGCTGCAGGTAGGTTTGTGTTGAACTTGCAGAGTCAGTGCCCACGGGCCATGCACAGCGATATCGCGATGTGACGGGAGGATCACAGCACACAGCACACATCACGCAGCACGCACAGTAGCAGCGGCAGCGGAAGGGGAGGTAATGCAAGCACTTTAAAGCCTCGCACGTCCAGGGCTGTCTTGGCAAAATGTATTTACACCGTCACAACCGAACGAGATCGTACGATTCTGATGAAGAGAGCCCACTTGCTTTTGCTCTTTATCCATATCGCCGGTGGGAACTACAGGGAGCATGGTGTTCCTGAGTTCCTGTGGGCCGGATCATGTCTCCGAATCTCTGTTGCGATACAGGACGCCACGATAATCAGACTGTATCATCGATCTCAACTTGATTGGTATCTCGGTCTTCCGCTTGCAACAAGCCTGTGGCTATTCCGTTTGGTAATTGTTACCAACCTCCGACTTGAAGGCGTACTGCGTACTGGGACCAGGGCTTAAGGAGATGAGAAAGGCTCCGCTCTCCACGCGAGACCTTCAAAAATTGCTTCTACCAGGCCATGAGCGGCCCCGCTGTACAGGGTCATGTTGCTGTCTAGCTGCGACAGCTAGTGCTAAATGTCGAGACTTGAGCGTCTTCTGGAAAACCTGTTAAGGTTAAATTATTTCGGCCAGCCGCCGCAGCTAGAGCTCCTTCGAGAATGGCTTTGCGAGTGCTGCGTGGTGGTTCGTGCGGTGCGGAGCTGTTCGGAGGAGCGCGTGGGAACAGTGTCAGTGGTCGGCTCCGTCCAGCTTCGCCTCCGCCGAATCTGCACCAAAGATAAGTCATATGGTGCTGGACTTGGACTAAATCCAGAGCAAGGCACAGCTGAGTGACGGATTGTGAACCATTGTCTCAACGGTATCAACTGTCCCCATGTCAGGCCTTCAAGCCTAGGGCATGGTGTAGGATCCCACAGGGATGTAATACAGTAATAAGCAGGTTCTCCCGCCAAACATCTGGGAAATTGATGCTTCTAGACTGTCACATTCATTGCTTCTAGCCATGTCGCGCCTGCAACCACTTAAGCAGCGTGGGTGAGCAAATGCCAGTCCCACTCCTCCAGAGGTCGAGCAGAATGCTTCGCTTCGATGCGGGAGCCCAGTCTACTGCATGGGCGTCAGGGGCATGTAACAAGCTATTTCTGCCTGGTGGGATGGGCTACTTGTAGGGCGGGAATACCTGCAATGACGCGAACAGGGCTTTTGGTGGGTGAAATCGCGGACGTAGTGCTCGAATCGTCACCTCGCTCCGGTGTGACGAAATTGTAAGAAGAAATCTACGCAGTTTTTAATGAAAGTCCGGACATCGTCTATAACAAATCCGAGAACCCGGGGCAGGCAGAAGAAAGCTGGAATATGAGAGCTGACAGCTACCCATGCGTTGTCAGGGGTAGACAAGGGCTTGGTCCATGGCTACGGTTCCGGTAGGCTCTTCATGGTGAGCGTGAGATAAGGACTAATGTTTGCGTCGTTTGCATGATGACACTTTCTCCTCAAAATGAATAGTAATTCGAAGAGATTGTCGCAGACGAGCCAAAGTCTAGAGCGTCGTTTCATAACGAACTCTGGCGATGTGCCTAGATAGACACTTTCAAGCATGCATGAAGCAACTATTCCGTTTCTATAGGTGCAGCTTCGATCATATAATAAGAGAGCTTTGTTATAGCTGTCAACGGGTCAGCCATGGGCATCGGCTCCTTCAATTTCAAAGGTTGTTGCGCGGGGTTCGCAGGCAAAGAGCAATCAGTTGCCAGCTGGTCATAGATGTGGGGTTCAACGGTGAACGGGCATATTAAGACGGCTGATATAGAGCAGCTTCATGAGATCCCTGGTGTTTTCCCGTCGGGAAGGGCTCGAGATGTGCTTTATCTCCAGAAATTGAAAGCTCCAGCGACCTTACCCGTTCTACGTCTCAATACCATGCAAGTCTGCTTCACCAGAGCAGTCACTTAATTACCGGCTTTGTCGAGCTGCTGTCTTCGGCCTAAGTGCGCTGCCTTCACGGACGGGATCATCGCGCTCGACAAAGTGACAACAGCAGCATGGCAACCATCACATAGAGGTCTGTGAGGACGCTTTACCCGAAAGCCCCCTCTATGCTAGCGAGGGAAAGCCATCCGCCTCCATCCCCTATGACGGGCATCTTGGGAGAAAACGCCACGTTCTTAGGCGCGCAGCAAGCTGACCTTTGGGGACCAGAATAAAACAAAAATAGCAGCCGCAATGACACGAGCTGAAGTCGCAAGCCGCGAGGATCGTCAACAGGCTGTAATATTTAGACTAGTCACAGTGATTGGCGTCGTTGATGAGCTCGTGTTCACGGCGGCCTAAGCTCCAGTGTGAGAGGCTTTGCTCCAGGTCATGGATACAAGACGTTCTGGATAGTCTCCTTGCCCAGTTTTCTGCTGTTTCGCGTATGCAGACAAACGACCGGGGTATCCTGCGATGGAGTTCGTCTCATACCCTGAGACTGGGCAACCTGAAGCACACCAAACAAGGCCAGATCCCTAGGAGACTTTTCGTCCCATTTTGCCCTTCGTTTCTCTCAAGTTTGCTCGCGTACAACTTCTCCACCAACATGAAGCTTTGCCCGGTTGGAGTCTGTTGTTCGGACGGACCCTGAGGATGGCGCACTTCACGGTAGCTGTTTCAGCATGTTCAAGATCTTTTTAAGGTCTGCCTGTCCCACTTTAGCTCCGGCAGTGCCTGGCGATCAGCGGCCGTGTGTCCGCTTGGTCACTGGCAAAATGAGCGGGAGATGTGCTGAGGTGCGAAGTTGAAACATGTTCCGTGTCTCGATGTATGTGTGCCCCTCACAAGTGCTCAGCGGAGCTTAACGACACCTTGACACCCGAACGCCCCAAAGGGACAATTATTACACCTTGCACTAGGAGAGAATGCTACGTTCTCGTCTCTCCTGGCAAGCAGCAAGGAGCTTGATTCCGAACAACTCTTGGCCACATCTAGAAAAGGCCGCTCTTCAATATGGTTATTGGTTTGACTAGCTATGAAAATAAGCCTATAATGTAAAGACTTTTAGGTGGTGTAAATGAGTTGAGCCGCGACCTAATGTAGCTCCAATTATGACGCTGGAGGTGCACATCCAAATGCTTTACCGCCTTCCTTTCCAGGACGGCCGGCTGCCGCCCTAGCAACTGCTAGCCTATCACAGACGACGCAACGGATTCAAGCTTCATCACACGACATCACAGCTTTGCCTTACGCCGACTCTATGCGTGGCTTCTCTATTCTCAAGAGGATCACGACCCTCAAGCCAAGCCATTTTCTTGCTGCTCCTCCAAAATCTGTGACATTGCAATTGCGATTCTTCTACGTCCCCAACATGACACGCCGCGACCCAAGCACGGCATCCAACTATGATGCCTGGAGGACGAAGCATACCACGGCCACCTTTAGAATTGACTTCAAAGACCAGTGTCTACGAGGCTCGGTGTCCCTAGAACTAGAGTCCCAAACGGAGAAAGAAAGCAAGGAGATCGTTTTGGATTCCAGCTTCGTTGCCGTATCATCAATCAAGGTTGACTCGGTCGATTCGAAATGGGAGGTAAAGGATCGTGCAGAGCCCCTGGGTTCTCCCGTCCACATCTCTATACCATCCGGAGTGAGCAAGGGGGCCACTATCAAGGTGGATATTGAGCTCGAGACCACGAACAAGTGTACAGCGTTACAGTGGCTCACACCGGCCCAAACATCAAACAAGAAAGCTCCTTTCATGTTCTCTCAGGCGCAGGCCATTCATGCCCGCTCCCTCTTTCCCTGCCAGGACACTCCGGATGTCAAGTCTACATACTCCTTCCGCATCACATCTCCGTACGTGGTCGTCGCCAGTGGTGTCTCGAGCGGCGAGCCTGAACAGCAGGGAGAAGAGAAACTCTACTCCTTCGAGCAGAAAGTGCCCATTCCATCCTACCTGTTTGCTCTCGCATCAGGTGATTTGGCATTTGCACGAATTGGACCGAATTCCGTTGTCGCAACCGGACCGGATGAGGTGAAAGCTTGCCAATGGGAATTGGAGAGGGATATGGGCAAGTTCCTAGATGTCGCTGAAAACATCATCTTCCCTTATAAATGGGGCGAGTACAATGTGCTCGTACTACCCCCAAGCTTTCCATATGGAGGTAGGTCTCATGTTAACGCTTGCTCAGGCTATCGAGCATGCTAATAGGTATCTAGGGATGGAAAACCCCATCTTCACTTTCGCAACTGTGAGTGATTTCGGCCCTTTTCAAAATATACATCGGCCCACACGTCAGCATTTTAAGGAGCATCTATGATAGTTCGCTCTTCTTGTTCATCTTTTTTTCTCTCAAGTCTTCTCTTTCACCCGTATATGCTAACTCTTTTGAAAGCCTACAATCATTTCCGGAGACCGTGAAAATGTTGATGTCATCGCCCATGAGCTGAGCCACAGCTGGAGCGGAAACCTGGTGACAAGTGGTAGTTGGGAGCATTAGTACGTGTGCCCACTAGACTTGAAATTTTGTCTGTTGCTAACGTGTCACCGCATAGCTGGCTGAACGAAGGATGGACCATGTATCTAGAGCGACGGATTATCGCAGCTGTTCATGGAGATGCTCACTTCGACTTTTCAGCCGTTATTGGCTGGAAGCATCTTGGTCAGTTGTTCCATGCGTCCACGATTTCCCATTATGCTGATAAGATGATCAGAGGATGCCGTGAAGGAATATGGTGCAGACCACAGGTTCACTCAGCTGCTGATTGATCATACGGGAATAGACCCCGATGATGCCTTTAGCACCATTCCGTACGAAAAGGGGTTTCATATGGTCTGGTACCTAGACCGGCTTGTTGGACGAGAAAATTTCAACAAGTTCATCCCTCATTACTTCACAAAGTTCACAAACAAGTCTCTTGACTCATACGAGTTCAAAGACACGTTTCTGAGCTTCTTCAGTGGACCCGAATATGCAGCTTTGAAGGAGAAAATTGATGGCATTGATTGGGACGCCCGATTTTATGGCCGCGGTCTCCCACCGAAGCCTGAGTTTGACACTAGTCTGATAGATATTTGCTACAAGCTAGCAGAGCAATGGAAGGATAAGGTAAGCTGAGCAGTCGTGTATCAAGGTCATCGCAACTAACTTGCTACAGAGCTTTGTCCCTAAATCTGGGGATGTTGAGGGCTGGAGTGCCAATCAGAAGCTCGTTTTACTTGGTGAAATTCAGGACTTTGATGAGCCACTCACCGTAGAACAAGCTCGTCAACTTGGGGAGATATATGGCTTGTTTTCTACGCAAAATGTGGAGCTGAAATCGGCATACTATCAGATTACCCTCAGATCCAAGGACGAGAGCACCTACCAAGGCGTAGCGGACCTGCTAGGCTCGGTAGGACGGATGAAGTTTGTCAGACCTCTCTTCAGGGGCCTAAACAAGGTCGACAGGCCGCTGGCTCTTAAGACATTCGAGAAGAATAAGGACTTTTACCATCCAATCTGCTTTGCTATGGTGGAGAAGGACCTTGGACTCTCAAAGGACGCTAAGAAGGCGTAAGGACATCTGAGCATTTGAGCCTTCTTGCTGGGATATGTAACATGATGTAGTATTGACCGTGTAGGCCACGATGGTTTCAATATAAATAATTGGAACCCACACAAAGTTTTTTGGTATTTTAGCATTGTAGGTGCTTCCTTGACATCGACACGCATTGTGAACTAATCGCGTAGTATGTAAATGGATAATCCCTCAGTCGGGAAGACCTTATGACTACGCTCCCTTAAGCTTGCCATGATGTGTTTTGACCTTCCCCTTTCCTAACACGAAGCTTTTACATCAACCTTCCCCACAATATATTGACAGACTTAATATCTTCTAGTTCTTGATGAATCAAAATGTATAATATCATGTTTAAATATAAAAATTATGAATTGGCTTCTCGTATCTAAATTGTTACTCCTGAGTCGCTTGTTTTATGATTGAAAGGCTACACGATCTTGTCTCAGGGGCTACAACGCTCATGTGCGCTCACATAAGCTTTTCTGTCTGCACATTTGTCTTTCTGCACACATGCAAGCAACTAGTCGTTATATAAGCATACAGATGTCTAAATAAATCATCTTGGAAACGTTTAAAGAACAAAAAATGTTGATTTTTCCGTCTGCTCGCTGTTGCGTGCGATTGGGGGAGCCTGCAATATCCCGCTGTCAAACTTTTGCCTGCCGGCCATCCTCCTGTGCGACCTATGTGATATCTCACCGGTCAAAGCCCATTCTTGACCTTCATATCACAGGGCCACTGCCCATACACGCTACATTTCACCTAAACCGGGCGTCATTGCCCGGCACCCATGCGGGTCCACGCGGGTGGAAGGCCTACATCAGATCGAATCCGCTAAAGATGCAACAAGCTGGAAGCTAAGCAAAGCCTACAATGAGGCTGCTATTGCCGAAGCTGCCGATCTCCCGTGGCACTATATGGGCAATGCTCTGCACTGTCACGATTTTGAAAGATGGCAGATAACATTCACTGGTTCCCATGATCAGATGACGTGGCTGGCGTGCCACGGGCTGGTAGGGCCTGGTCTTAAAGATCAGCGCGTTGAGGACAGTGTCATAGCTATATTGATCCAATAGTCGTTGCAAGGCACGATGTAGGATAAGATGTGACAGGGATGGTGCTTGTTGTACCGCGTCAGCCCTGTGGTGCGGAAGGACAGGGTCTAGAGACAGGGGTAGGCGGTTCTAGATAGGGGCTCTGACTACTTCTGGGTCCGAATAGTAAGGTTTTCGAGCCTGGAAAGTCCGCGAAGAAGGCAATGTTGGAGATTGAGTAAAGATGCTCTACGAGGATTGGAGAACAAACCTGCTGCAAGAGGGCGTGTTGTGCTCCGCTTGGAAGAGCGGTGAGGAAGACTTCAACAGACCACCAATTGCTCGCCCTATCTTATTTGAGTGTTACAAAGTCGCTGGATTTCCATCCATTTTTTCATTCTATTGGTTAGAATGGCTAAATTCTATCAGTACAGGTGGCTGTCGCCGTATGTTGATTATTAGATATCGCAGATGTTATGCATACTTGCGGTGACTCAACGACAGATACTTGCTAGCATTCCGTACTATGTCTGGGATCTAAGCTTCTCATCCCAGGTTTTCAATATCAGGATCTGAAGTTGTGATCCCTCCTCTGCAGCTACATGTGACAATTGCTCCGCCTCTAGCCTACCCTGCCGGATCCTCGCATTGGCTACCACGTCCTCTTTAGGTCTCTCGCCCATCAGTCTAGCCACTTGGATATCGGCTGCTCGGAGTGTCAAGGCAAACACACCGACCAAGATGTTCAACCCTGCCAGCAGTGCCCGAAGCAATGCCAGCGGTACTTCAAGGATGCCTCGACCAATCGATCGCCCCTCTGCTATGACATGGCCGGGACCAGTGAAAACTGAGAATAACTCGCTTGGGAATTTCAAGATAAGGAAAATTAACATTTGAGGGAGACTGTAAAGTCGCGGGTTGCTTGCAAAGAGGTCTGGCTGGAAGCGACTGCCAAATTCATAGCAGAGAAAGTCAATGAAGTTGTAGAATCCCATGCATAGACCAACAAAGATGGTCAGAGGTGCTAGACGATATTAGTTGGGCCCTTTTTAGAACGACAGGGAACAGCTTACCTCGCAGAAGATGGAGAAGAACAAAAAGCAGAGCTCCTATTCCTGAAGCGGCGGGTTCTCTAGACATGGCCATTGGCACCTTCTCTCCGTCGGAGGTACCGCTATCCTCGGCCTTCGTTTTAGGCGATATATTCTTAAAATCAGTCGAGATATTGATCCATAGGCGCCCCATCGCCTTTAACACTCCTGTAAAAGGATCGCCGGGGGTGACATAGTCGGGCCACTTTACAAGAGCCAGTGGTTCCAGGTTCGATTGCTTCACTTTGCCCTCCTGGACGAGGACATGCCCTGCCAGGGCGGACACTTTCGCCCCATTGGATATGCACTTCCAAACCGCTGGCCTATCAGGTAACACGTCGCATCGACCTTCCCTCTCATATATGCTAAATGTCTGCAGAGCCGACTTAACGAAGCCCTCTTGACCAGGAGCCTCCGCGGCGATCTTCGCTGCCATTTCTGCAGCGGCCTCTGCATATTGAGGCTTTTGAACCTCGTCTAGCCTCTCGGCAAGTGCATCCGCGGTCAATTCCTTCATCAAAATGGGCTCGGTACCACAGCCTATCTTATAGATCTGGTTAGCCCAGAATGGTTGGTCGCCAGCTACAGGAAGAGGCACGATGGGACGGCCGGTCTTCAATGCCATGGCTGTAGTACCTGCACCGCAGTGGATCACACAGGCGGAAACCCTTGGGAATAGCCACTCGTGAGGTGCCTCGTCAAAGACGCATACGTTAGGGATCCTCTCGGCTGGAGGCTCCCAGTTTGCCCAGGAGCGCCCGATCACTGCGCGGACCCCTGATTTCTTGATGGCAGCCAACACGGATTCGTAGATCTGGTCTGCGTTCGGAAAGCCCACTACAATAGTGTTAGTACTGTACGAGAGGGCAACACATTTGCGGAGACGGCTTGAGCTTTCGAGCTTTGAGAAAGCCGAGATATGTTTCCGCCGTATACATGAGGTTACTTACTACTGCCAAATCCAATGTATATGGGTTTCTCCTCCGAAGCGGCAAGAAATCCTGCAAGCTCCGCCGGTGGCTCATATTCTGGCGCCTCGCGAAAGACGAAGCCTGCAATATCAATATGGCTACCCCAGTCCTTCGCTTTGGGCAAAAGAGACGGTGACCAGATGTAAGTCATTGGCGCTCGCACACGATTGAACTGCGTCATCTGCCAGATCGGCGAAAAAGGCTCGAGGCCCATCGTCATGACACGGATGTCATTGAAGAGAGGTTTGATAGCCTGAAAGAAGCTGCGTTTATGTTAGCATAGCCTCTACGAGCCTTTCAGCTTGGAAACAGGTCTGGACAGCGTACAGTAAATCCTGGAACCAATATGAAAACTTGTTCTTGAAGGCTCCGCCGCCCTTTGCAAAGCCTTCTGCTTGCGAGTGTGGTACATATTTGCTAGGATTTCTTGCGTTGGTACCAATCATGTGAAGCGGTATGCCCATTCGCGCTACAATTGATGTCTGGTCGAACGCCTGGAAGATGGAGATGACAGCGTCGGCTACGAATGGGTTGGACTCTCCATCATCGCTCAATCCAGCTGGGTCACCAATACAAGCACCCCACCAGCTCTCGCCCATCTCTGCGAACTCGACTTTGATAGTGGGCAACTCCTTCTCCATCTCTTTGCGAGGCAATTGTCGTCGGACTTGCATATTCTTGGGATCCGTCCTGCCTGTCGAATAGAACTCAATGCCTTCCGCTTCAACCGCCTCCTTGTACACCCGGTGGCCAGCAAATCGAACCCGGTGGCCGTGGCGGTGGGCCAGAATCTTTGCGATCTCGAGCTTGGGCTGCAAATCACCTCGTGTACCAAGACTCATGATCACGATGTTGAGCTTCACAGGTGGCAGGTCGGCGCCGGCTGGCCCGTGTGCCGGTGCCGGCGCGTCCGTGAGAGTTGCCGACACTGATGAAGCCATCATAGAAGTACAACTTTAACCCAATTGAATCCAAAATCAAACGCGCCTATAGTGATGAACAAAAGAAGACCCTAGAAGCTCAAGAATATGAAATAGTAGGAAATTCCATGATTGACTGCAATCATATTTGACAAATTATGGGAAGTTCCGTGGCCCTGGCCGCCCGGTAATGAAGACAACCAAAATAAGGTGTTTACGTGTAATCCTTCGCGTTGGTGATAGGTGGAGTCGAGGCGGTCATCAACGCCAGTCAGCCAGGCTGCCATTGCAAATTGATAGGTGAAGGATCCACTACCGAGGGGCCAAAAACCTATGAGCCTTACGGATTTTGATGCTCGTTAGATCCTGCGGGAATGGTAGATGAAAACGGCAAAATGCCAGATCCTACGGACTGGGCGCAACATTACAGAGCTGTGCAGTAGGATTGTCCAAAAACCAGCTGCAGGCGACTACATGCTCTTTTGGGGAGCTTGAAAATACCACAGGGCTGTCGCTAGGGTGTTTTTCAAGCAGTAGGAGAGCCAGATCAATTACGCTAAAGCCTGCTCTAATTGCTGTGGTCAGCACTTTAAATGTTGCTCTCGTATCAATACGAGAATACTGCGAAAACAACTAGGTAGTCAAGCAGCATGCAGGACTGATAGAATACACTACCAACAGGGTTACGTATAAACAGGCTCGAGAAGCTATGCTCATGAGAAGACCTAACTTGAGAGACTTCATAAAGAGGAGAGCCGATAACCAACACTGTGTGCAGTCTGACCCTTAAAACCCACTTCTGGTTACATGGAATGGCCGAGTTCGGTTCGGCCGCTTGAATTGACCCGTCTATATTCTAGAAGGCAGTAAGGACGGCTTGCCATCCTGTATTTGGAAGAATGTCAGTTTGATCTGAGAGCGGGAAGATAAGGTTAAGCGGTTAATTTGACATGCAGGAGATCAAGTGCTCTGCTAATTGCAAAGTGAGAAACCTCCCACTTCACGATGTCGGCCAAACCTTGAAGGAGGATCCCGAAAGATCAAGCACCTCCCAGGCCTGGCTGTGCAAAGCCTCAAAATGTCGCATTGACACCGATCTTGAGACAAGTCTAAGCCCTCGGGAGCGCTGAAAGTTTGCTTGACAAACATTTCCAAGGGCGTTTAGTGATCGTCCTTGAGACAGGGACTGTCGTTCACCATCTCCAGAATGACGAGCGATCACATGTCCAGCCACTATCACGATGCTCGACCTCACTGCCCAAGGAGATCATGGCACGCTAAAGTCTCAAGGGAAGAAGAAAGTGAAGGGGAGCCTTTCCAGTAGGCACAAGATGCCACAAAGCCGTCTCCGAGCTTCACGAGTGATCAGATGAAACTGTTGGCGGGCTATAACCTAATCTCGGTGTTAGAGATGTGCACTGGGATTCTGGTCGATGCGGCTGTTCATGTAACAGGTGGAAGAAGTCCTTGATAGGAGTGCTCATGCTGTCAGTCTGAGTCGTCGAGCATACCCTGTGTCTCATTGAGACGACTATCTGCAGGTCTTGGAATTACGACGATGTCGCCGTCATCTTGTGTTGAATGTTAGTTCTGTCGAGGTCATTTTTCAACATTTGTCGAATAAGGTTTGTCCCAAAAATAGCATCCAGCGCACCTGGGCAATTGACCAAGCGCTGTACAGGATGTCCACTATCAGATGCAAGGCTTATCATCAGTGCAAGCTGTTAACGCTAGTCTTGATCAAACCAGACCCTGCACATCCTGGCCTGGTTTGGAAACAGCCATGGAGTTACTGCATTTGTCGGTCGGGCTTTCCCCTCTTGAGTTCCTGAGACACCAAAACACATATGCCCAGTTGGCACTCTCACTCTCTCAAGAGCCCAAATTCCCTCAGCTTAATTCGTACTCGTAGATATGCAGTTTCCAGGGATCAACATCTCCATCTCTCACATGTGCAGGGTTCGACTCGGTTCCTATCGAGCGGCATCTCGACCGAGACCGAGCCAACGCATGAATTAGGTCAATCGCGCGTTCCTGGAAATGGTATCTCGAGACTCGGGCTGAAACGCCGCTCGAGGTTTCCAATGGATGACAAGTGCAACCCGGCGGGGTGCACTTCGCTCAGGACAGGCTGGGAACCTGCCCCTGGCTCGACCCTGCAGCATGTCGTCCGCAGCGCCATCTCACCTAACGTGACTGACCCGACTCGACTCTTTTTTGGCTTTTCTCTCCGAACATCCAAGATGCCAACCGATCCGTCAGGCGGTGTTATCCAGGTTTAGGACTACCATCCTTGTTGCTTCATTCTGAAACATGGGGACTCGTCTCACAAACCAATCGCATCCAACATTGCGTTCAATGTCAACGACACCTTGTGGCTGATGCCGCATCTGCCACCACACCTCTCACCATCTGACAACCTGTTTCCCACCACGGCCTTATGTCCGTTGTGCTTGTACAGTCCCAGGTTCCTTTCCCACGAGAGACTCCAAATGGCACAGAGTGGACACCCTCTGCTCGTTCACCTCATTCCAACCCTTCATTTACATATGACATTGAAGCTTATTGTGCCGCCTCGCCCCCGAAACGGATACCTGTGCTTGTTATGATTCCCGAGCAACCGACGGCCCCATCCTGTTGGTTTGGATCCCGGTCGTCCACACAACGCGGTGCAACACAGCCATAAGCTTAGGATAGAACATCAGATATGCAACCCTGGCATGGCTGACAATGCAAAGCCGGCACCAAAGCAATACCTCTAGGTTTTGGCTTCCTAACAGCGGCACCTCGTGGAAGGTGCAATCAAATTTGCCAAATTTTACGTGCCTTTTTTTTTTTACAACGAAATGTCTACACCGCGGCTATAAAATATCTTGCTCGAGCAGAGCAGGAATCAACTTATGCTGACATGCTGCCTGGCACAATATCGGCTCTCAACTAGCATAACATGCAGACGCGAAGTCGAGCCCCCCGCAACTAAGACAGTCGAGCGTAAGGAACAATAGGCCCAATGCCCACTCGCTAGCCTCACCCACTCGGCGAGTTAGCCCTGTGCCTATGGATGGATCGCCCTTCAGGTTTGTGAATTTCCGAATCTATCATTTCTAGATCTTGAGGGAGAACTTCTCACTGGCAGTGGTACTGGTCTCATTCGGCATGTACCGAGCTACCGTATCAATCGCTTGTGCGGTACATGTCCGTGGCTGCTGCATACGGTCGGATACTTGCCCGGTCACAGATGGGCTACGAACCCTGTCTGTGTCGTCGCTCCATCAAACACACCTCTCTCCATTGCGAGGTTTCAAGGCCCATCCCAGGTATCAGCTTGCAGATCCTCTGTGCGGCTGCGCCCCAATGCTTCGACAACCCATTGTACAGGACTGTGAAGCCAGATCCGCTTGACAAGGGAACTCGGTTGCTGAGTGTTGCTCAGGTAGCAGACAACTCGGGATTCGAGCCACGGCTCAGACTAATCCCTGTGCGGATCATATTGGTTCAGACGACTTTCTGACGCCATGATCTACTGCGGTCCAATCTGACGCACAAGGGCCAACACGTCGGCACATGGAAGGACTTCACACCTGATCTTGAGAGAGTGCCATCTGTCCCTGGCACACACGCCTCACTCCATGTCCTTGAATAGAACAAGGGTTTAGGTCGGAAGCCACCCGCCAGCGGCCTCCATGGTCCTATGCTAAACGTCTGTGGGGAAGTCCAACCTCGACGTACATCCAACATTCATGCGTGACACGGGGCTAGCATTGCATCGACTCAGGCGGGAACTCTAGCCAGATTCCCTACCTTAGCTCAACTGTCATCATGCTGGTCTCTACTATAGCATGCTCACACGCTCTAAGGGTGCTCGCCTGACTGTCCACAGAGCGTGCCCGTCCTTGTTTGCCCCAGGTTTCCTCGTGGATCATTGTGCCTAGTCCAGAGACTAGGAATGTTTCCCACTCTCTGCAGATCATAGGGGTGGCATCTCTCTCAAATCCCCAAACGTTCTTCTCTTCAGGAACCCCTTCTCATTCATGCATTAAGAGCACAGCCCAACATACTGTTCTACTTGCCCACGCTTCTCATTCGCTCTGCTACCTATTTCCTTCTTTTACCTACTCTCTTTTGTTTTCCTTCTTGTATGGAGTTTTGACCTTTATCGCTTTCCATCACTTTCACCAACATCGCTGGTCGTATTGTTTCTGTGAGACCCAAAGCGACCCCAACGCTAGCTCTCCACCCTCTCTTCAGTTGACGTCTCTAGTGAGTTTGTTGTTGTCTATCAGACTTGTGATTTCTACCAAGTTGTCGATCTTGACATCCGAGCTTCCCCCTCAGATCATCACCTCGAGCAAGGCCCTTTGTTCTCGGCAAGAGCACTGAAAAGGGTGTCTCTTGTTTCTCTCGGTTGTGACGGGATCCGATGCGATTGGAAGAGCAACTCGCTCCCTCGTGTCCCAAAATTTCGGACGACTACGCTTGACTAGTCCGGGTCCTGGGTCCTTGGTGTTTCGGCTGTTTCAATCTACATCAGGGCTGTCAGTGCGACTCTCAGACGTCGATCCCGTCCGTAACCTAGATAATCTTATCGTCCAGCTTAGTCCTTGCCCTTGAAAGAACCTACAAAGCATCAAGATACCCCATACCTGACTGGTTTTGTCAACTCTGGTTCCACTCCTCAAGCTCCGGGATTACTTACAATCTGTTGACACGAGAGCCTCAACGGGATCAGCTTGCTCCGCCAGGACTTGCGGGCTAGCAATACTGTGGCACAACGGGGACAACTTCGATCACAGCAGAGAGAAGATCGTTGTTAGAAAAGCTGGTAGACACTTGGGTAGAAATCCTACATACGAACCATTACCAGGAGAGCGTCTCGTGTCTCTCTGCTCAATGGAGGGTTGAATCTGGATTCTGGCACTATTCGAAACTCCTTCGTTCTTCGGATCAACTTGGGGGAGCCTTCAACGTGGGACTGTGAGCGTTGGAAACGACTCACCGGTCATATTTATCACTGCCGGCGCGACCTCGACGGTCGGGACGTTCTGAAGATCTGTTCTATTGCGGTTTATCAATTCTGGTCTTATCACAGCAAAAGCTAGCTGCGAAGAGAAGTTGGTGTTGTCGTTGACACAGGTTGATCATCGGCTGCAGCCAAATATAGAAAGCGAAGCAGTCCCGGGTTGTTCCAACGGTTGCTGGCCTCCAGCCGAAGTGAATTGCGTGGAACCGGTTAAAGCTTACAGTCATTTTGATCTGTCAGAAGACCGCATCTCGTTGCCTTTGAGCTGTTTAGCCGTTTCTGATTCGGCTCGAGCTGGCACTGAAGTCACACGATTAGGCGAAACAACGTGGAAAGATGGATGTTACAGCACTTCTCAATTCTGCTGCTACAGCAGCCCATGTTGGCAGAAAGGAGTCTATAGAGCAAGCAACGACTCCGTCATCCCTAGGTGGTACAACAGTATGTTCGACAGCAATCCCAACTCCTTCTCCTGACAAGACACCATCACGAAGGAGTAGCGAGTCAAGGACACCCAATAGGAGTAGAACACCTTGGGATGCTGGTGGCTACTCCCTTCCTCTGCTGGATACCAAGATCCGACACGCAAGCTCGACAACAAAACTGATATACTATGATGAATCACCAATTGATCACACTGGGTCAGCCAGTCCATCGTCTCCGAAGCATAAATTCTCGGATAGCCACAGCAGTCTCTCCTCCTGCACTTTCTCTTCCTCTAATAATTCTGTTTCTCACTCTCGGATATCTTCCTTGTCGACGGTCAGTGAACTGCAGCCTCTCAGTACTCTGGCCATAGACATGCCATCTCCAGACGGCAGAAAGATGTCAGAACCTCATGGTCAGGGGCTAGCCTGCCCAGCCTTGGGAGAGATACAACCTCCATCTCCCACTCCAAGGAGACTCACGCATGAAATTACTTCTGATGTAAATAACCAGGAAAAACATCCAAAGGAAGTGAATCGGCCCCACTCTCCTTCAGATGCAGTTCTGATGAAGTGGCGCCCTAGCGCCACACCAGGAAGCAGAAGGTGAGTGAATCACCGCAGCCCTTCTTGGGATGAACCTCTCCTCCCATTGTTCTCCCCATCCACAATAGCTGTTGTCTCGACACCGACCACACTTTATTTTTGCGTCTGCCTTTGGCGTGTTTACTCACTCTCATAAAGTCTGGTCTCGCTTTTCTTCCCATCTCCCTTTCCCTCAACAACGCTACCCCAATTTCCTTTCTTTCACCATCTCTCCCGCAACCCTTCTTCCGACCTTCATCGCTCCCCATCTCATAACCTCTGCTGATATCAAGCTCCAGTGCGCAAGAAAGGAGGACCCCAAACCCAAGCTCCTTTCTTCTGCCCGAACCTTCAAGTTCATCTTGGCACACGAGAGGACACAAACGAGCTGTGTCTGCACCTGATTTTGCGCCACTGAACTCTGCCTCGTCTAACCCAGCGTTCGTCCCCAAGTTTGGACCAATGCCTGAGCCTACCCCCCCTCTGTCCCCTACTGCAGCTGGTGCTGATCAGCTTGCTCTCACCATGGACCCAGCTCCACCTTCCCCAGCAGCTTCCTACCTATTTGGCCCCGACGAGCTCAAGTGCATGTTTGTCGACAACTGCGACACTGATGCCCCTCTTCGCAAGGCCATCTCACACATCTTCGGCCGCAACAAGCTCTGCACTCGTCTCATTCCTCCTGCAGTTTGGGTCCACTGGTGCCGCAAGCACTACCAACGATGCCGCTATCGCAATCCGGCAGAGTACGCTACTCGTCAGGCCGATATGGTCAGCGTTCAGATTGATCGTGTCCAGATGTGGAGCGACGAGAACAAGTCTCGCAAGCTTCCTGGCATCGTCCTCTCCTGGGTGATCCAGCCTCGAAAGCGAGAAGCCCAGCGCCTCAGCGAACAAGATGGCGATGAGAATGTTGCCCAGCAGATTGGTAACCAAGGTGACGACCAAGCCATTGCAAATGGCACTGCGATTCCCAACTGGCTGCTTCAGCAGTGTGAAAAGGAGTTCACCACCACCCAGGTCCAAGACGTCGTTCGCCGAATCCAAACGGAGATGCAAGCGGGTTATCTTCAACAGATCCCTGACATTGAGATTCTTCCCAACATCAGCACCGAGGGTGGAAACACGACAAAGCCGAAGTCTACTTTGAAGCGCAAGATGGGTGGAACACCTACTCACAAGCGTTCCCAGTCCATGCGAGTTGGTGGCCGCCCCATGGCCCACCCGATGACTCGTCGCGCCAGCCATCAGGGCAGCTACTACGACCAGAACCATCAGACCTTCTCTCCTGCGGAGAAGCGTCAATGTGTTGGTCCTCTTCCTCTGAGCGGATACTATGCCCCTCAGCATGGCTTTCCTCCTGTGCCTCCTCGATCCACTGAGCGCATCGTCCCTCAAATGCACTCGCAGTTTGCTTTCGCTCATCCTCCCACCTTGGAGACTCAGCCAGAGATCTCTCAGCACTACGCGTACCAGGGTCCCAATCCGAGTGTTCCTACTGCCTACCACTCTCAGGGCATGGTTCCTTACGAGGCCAATGAGATGAAGTCCAACCGCGCTCAGCTGACTCTCACCCCGATGTACAATAAGGTTCACCATCGCAGCCAGTCAGAGATGGTTGTGGGCCACCAGTTGACTGCTGGCCAGTCTGGTGTGAACTTCAACCAGTACGACGGCAACCGCCCGACCTCCTCCTCCAGCTATGCTGCTCAGCCCCCGATCAGTAACTTCCAGTTCACTGCTGGCGCCCAGCCAGGTCATGGCTTGGCGTACGAGAGCAATATGCATGGTTACTACGATCAGGCCCAAGCTGTCCGTAACTGGCCCGGCGATGTCGCCAATCACTTCCACCCTGTGCACCCAAGCTATGCAACTCAGCATGGACATGGACGTCGCCAGAGCACCCCAGTGACTTATCGACCTTACCCTATCCAGCGAGCTGCTTCCGCCGCGATGCTTTCGGGTACAACTGCCTCTGAGGCGCTTCCGCCTCTCCACACGCTTACCCAGCCTGGCTCCTACTTCCAAGCGGGTCACGAGCAAGTTGGCGCGCAAGGTGCTGAGGATCACAAGGATTCTCAGCGCCCTGATGAGCTCCGTCACTAAAGGCTGAGGCCTTTCTACGAGACCGATGCCTTGTTTTCACTTGGACACCACACTGTCATCGATCTCCCGAGAAGCTGACACAGCTTCTGTATTTGACGATCACACGACTCACAACCATGTCTCCTCTACCCCAGTTCGCCTTTCTAGTATTATTCGACTCTACCCACTGCACCTAGCAGTTTTTTATGGATCCTTTTGTCATCAAGGCATCCTTGAGTCTTACGAGAAATGAAGGATAAAACGAGCTTCTCTTCTGTATCTTGTCGACCATGACGGTTCACATTGCGACGCCTGCGTTTTAGGGCCCAGGAACGATAACGACGAGATACCCATATCTGCATCTGATTTTGCTTTGCTCTACTTACCAACTTGGGACACTCCCTTGCATTACGCCAAACATTTGGCACCATTGACCCCAATCAGCACATAATTGTCTTGTCTACGGCAATCACGAATTTTCCTTACCTCACGGATCACGGTAATATTTTCTTTACAAACAAAGAATGCATGGAATGGCAAACGGCGCAAATCAGGAGTCAAGGAGCTGGCAAATAAATACCACCGGAGTCTGACCGGAATCCCTGGAGGATATTGATCTATCGAGCTCTTAAGTGAGCCCCGACGGAGATAAAGGAACGGATATGGTGGGCAACCTTTGATTTCTCGACGCGATCATATAGGGAAAGGGGCGAGGAGGAACTAAAGCCCCTCTGGCGATGCTGGGATACAGGAAAAGCATCGATTCTCTGAGTACTTGACTAGCTCCATACCATGCTTAGCTACAGAGTGGTACTTAACACCAATTGAGAAAACATTATAAATATCTGCCGTGCAAATCGTGATCGCCTTCCTAGTATTGCAATGAGAAATGGTATAGGAATAGGTGAAACATTCAGATCCTGGTCACGAAAAGAAGGTAATTTTATTAGGGAAATTGTGCCAGCGGCGGACTACCGACAGAAAAATTACCTAAATACAAACTCTGCTGAAGTCGCTGGTCGGGAGGCTGGCAAGTGGTAAAAGCGAACACGTGAATTAACATGGCGCACCGAGACAAGATGCACAGTTGCGTTGCATAGCAGGAGGTTTAAATGCAGGATGCCGAAGCCGCAGAGCCTCTCAATCTGCGGGTGCTCCCGTTCGGCAGGTCTCCGTGTAACCTTATGCTGACGGAGCTCCAGTAACGATGATATCTACTGTGGTTGAAGTGCTTTGTTCTCTGGTGATCGAATTGGCTTGCTTCTCACTACCACCAAGTAACTATCAAGTTCCTTTGTCGGAACATTCCATATCCTAGGCTCGGTACCATCTGCCGTCTACCTCACCATCACGGAACAAGGGGTTATAGCCGGGCCTTTTGCCAGGGACAGGGGAGACAAAAACTGGTGGAGGAAGAACTCGAAAGGATTCGCCAATTGCTGTTGCTGTGGGATGTAAGCATCTACCTAAATCACAGCTCCGACGCCACCAACATCTTTTCCTGCCGTAACAACTTCAAATTTTGGCGCCACTGGATTACAAGCGGAATCCAAATGAAGCTATTGACCATGGATCGACCGCCAGAGGCGCACTTTGACATCTCCGTTACTTCTGAAGATATCCTAGCGCACGGGACGTGGGCACCCGAAACAACCGCCGCACAGCTACCCCGGCCAGCTAGGAGGTGCCGACTGTTCGAGGTCTCGACGGCCAGGTCTGGCGAGTGAGGTGAGTCGACTTCCGCTGGTCTTTCTCGTGGAAACAGTCTTTCGATGAGCTCTCCTTTTCTTCGCTATTTTCTTATCTGCGAACTGGTTATTGTGTGTTGCCTTCACAGAGTCTGTTTGGCAGTGAAGACACGACTTGGCGCCACATAACAGAATCGTCATTCGTTTCATACCTGCCGCACTGCAGACCCAGCTGATCGAGAACCTGAGATTGAACCGAGACGATAAAGAGTCAAGCGGGTCGCCCAGCTCGGGGCGGGTGAAAGAGCTGGCTTTTCCTTCGAGGGCGATCGTCTACCCAGTGTTCACTAATCCGCGAATCGGCTGTCTTCTGGCGAAATGGCATCGACCATCCTTCTTCTTCTGGGTGCTATTTTCGCATATGGAGTCCTGTACCTCGGTCATGGGCTGAGGAGGAACATTGCCGCGGCGCGGCGCAGTGGCTTGCCCTACGTGATCGTCCGTACGTCATCTCGCAAGAACCTCAAAAGAAGGCCTGCCTGCTAATATTCACAAGCGGTCTCCCCGTTCAATATGGGCTGGCAAATAACATGCCCACTTTGGACGCCGATTATCAAGTGTCTTCCAAAGTCCTGCTGGGAAGACTGGCTCGAGTAAGCTTGTTCCAGATCAAGGACATGCCAATCCGATGACTGACCGATCGTTCTAGCGTCTTGACACCCAACTGGCCGTACCGCTGCCTCTTGGAGCCGTTTCAGCGTCTGGGCGACACGTTCTTGACCGTTTCACCAAGCCAGATCGTGATGTACACCAATGACGCCGACGCCATCCGCCAGATCGGCGCACGGCGTGAACACTTCCTCAAGCCCACCGAGAACTACACCATCCTGGAGATGTTCGGGCGGAACGTCCTGACCAGCGAGGGAACGACATGGCGCATGCACCGCAAGGCGACGGCGGCCTCCTTCAATGAGAAGAATGCAGCGTACACCTTCGCCGAATCGATCAGCCAAACAAAAGGCATGATTGAGCACTGGCTGGGCCCAAACGGTGAAAGTAGTAGCAAAACGATAAGTACGATTGAGAGAGACACCATGACGCTCGCATTGAATATCATTGGCTATGTGGGATTCGGGCTGAAGCTGCTATGGCCAGGCCAGACCCTGCCGCAAGGGATCAGCCCGAAGCTGGTCAAGTACGGCAAGTCGGAGCCGCCTGAGGGGTATACAATGAGCTTTGCGGACTCGCTAGCTACAGTGTTGGACAAGATCCTGGCGCTGTTGCTGATACCTAAATGGTTGCTAAAGATACTGCCGTTCAGGTCCATGAGACAAGCACTAGAGGCAAATGATAATTACGTCAAGTTTATAGAGGAATTTCTACAGGAGAAGATCGAGGAGGTGAAGAATGGCAGTCAGGGAGATGGCATGAACATTATGGGACAGCTGGTTCGGTCAAAGTACGGCCGCACCGATGACAAGCAAGGCGAGAGAACAAACCAGTTTCAGCTGAGCGACTCCGACATCACGGGAAACGCGTTCATTATCATCGTCGCAGGCCATGAGACGACGGCCAACGCGATGCACTTCACGCTCCTCGAGCTCGCAAATAATCCCGCGGCCCAGCGGGCGTTACAAGCGGATGTGGATCGTCTCTTCGGCGAGTCGGAACCGGCTTCTTGGAACTACGAGCAGAGCATCAATGCGATGATGGCATCACAGCTGGCGGCATGTATGAACGAGACCCTACGCCTCATGCCCTCGGTGGCGGAGATACCAAAGAAAGTCACGCCAGGTCAAGATCAAATACTAACAATTGACGGCGAGAAGCATGTCCTGCCTGAGTCTATGGCCATCATACTGAACACGGTGGCCGTTCATCGGAATCCCAGATATTGGCCGGAGAAGCCAAGCACAGTCACGGGACAAGCAAGCGACCTGAACGATTTCGTTCCCAAACGGTGGTTCCGCCCCTCTATCGCCAAGGCAGAGAAGGAGCTGGAAGTTGAGGGCGCCGACACAGAGGATTACGGCGGATTCAAGGGTCCGGACACAAGCGCGTCGCTCTTTCGGCCGGTGCGCGGCTCGTTCATCCCGTTCAGTGACGGTGCGCGGTCATGCCTTGGAAGACGGATCGCGCAGGTGGAGATGCTGGCGGCGTTGGCCGTCGTGTTCCAGAAGTACAGCATTGAGTTAGCCGTCGATGAATGGGCAACAGACAAGGAGGTGGCCAAGATGAGCTTGGAAGAAAGAAGGGATCTGTACAGGAAGGCTCAGGACAAGTCTCGGGCTACCCTACGGCACGCTTCGTCGATGCTAACACTCAAGCTTCATGGCGGCCTCTATGTGCCGATCAGGTTGGTACGACGAGGCGAGGAGAGGTTCATCGGGCATGTTGATGCTTGAGGCAAATCAAAAAGAGATACAACAGGATTTCAGAGCTTTGATCATCTACCGACTTACAAGTCGGGTCGCATATGGTGGTGGTTTGAAATCATACCAGAGGAATCATTTAGATGGGCATCGTAACGGTGAAGCTCCAGTGTGTACCGTAGACGAAAGCTCACAGCATCGAGGTCCCCGAGGATCTCATCAACATAATGAGAAGAACAAGTAAACAAATCTGCAACAATATATCCCTCATGCTGGATGCTTGGCATTCTGATTGGTGTGGGTGTATACTCAGGTAATAAGGCGGACCTGATGGAGAGGAATGTCTTAATTGAAGTGCCGTGAAACATGATTGGTCTCAGCAGATGAGAGCGCTCTAAGTCGATAACTAGTCTTCTGTCCTCCGGCCAACTCAGCTTTGTTTACAGTGAGCAAGTGTCTATTTCCTGAGATTATCTAGAGCTTTGGGTATGCTGTATGAGATGTGTGGAATTTCATCTCTCAAGTGAGTTGAAGAGATTTATGCTGAATAGGATTGTGAAGAAGGCAGGACGCTTATGGCAGGCGGGGCTGGTGTTTACTTGCGAGGTGAAGAACGCCAGCTAGATGGTCGGTAGCGACTTCCCTCTCCTCCTTATCATTATCCCGCTACTTACTGTACCTAGGTAGGTATTTCAGAGTGCATGTTTGTCAATCGAATTTAAGAAGGAAGGTACGAAGTAGGTAGAGCAAGACGAGTCAGACACAGAGAGAGAGGTGACAATGTGACATGCTCGTGCTGATCATCATCGCTGGCCTCAGCACGCAAGCGGTAAGGTTGGACGGAGGAAGGTGAAGTGGAGGTTCATCTCACTAACAATGACACCTCATTCGGCAGGGGCTCCATATGGCAGCATACGGTATGGTATGGTGGTAGTCGGAGGGAAAAAACAGGGGGGCTGGCTGGCTGGCTGGCTGACCTGGGTAGTGCTCGAGCTGGTCAATCCAACCCAGCCACCCGCTTTTTGCAAGCTCGACTCGCTCCATTCCCCCCCCAGAACCTTAACATAAGGCGGAAGAAGCTCAAGCTTCGACGAGCCCACTCAGCCCGCCCAGCCCAGCCCAGCGAGCCAGCCCAGCGCAGTGAAGAGTCCCCCCCCCCCCC